AGGCCCCCTTTCGCAGAATGATTGCATCTGAAAAATCAGGCCTCTCTGCAAGGAAGGAGCATTTTTCGGTGAGGGGAGGAGAGGAAAAGGAAAGGCTTCCAACTCTCTACCAAGACTGGCCTTCCCAACAATCCTCAGGCGTGACCGAGTTTTCTCGACCATTCCCAGGGCATTACTTACGGCCTCTTTTTTTTGTGAAGATGCAGGTGAGAGCCAGATATTCCCACAACATTTCCAGCAGGTAGTCCAAATTCAGCTTCATGCCACAGCTGGGAAGACACAACTGTCAGCTGACACAGCCATAACGCGTGTTTTGTGCAGGACTACTTGGGGGTTTCCTTACCTAATCACGACGCTATGGGGCCTCCGAGCCAGGCGGTCCACCTCTTCCATAGAGATCTGGTCAATTTTGTTATAAACCTAAATTAAGACACAGAGGAAGGGGGGGGGAAGATTCACATTGCACCCTGATGTTGATTCCACTCTGATCCCTCACACCAACTTTCTTAAATGTGATTTATTTACGAAATGTACTGGCCACCCATTTTATCACAGAGTAACTTAATTATAAGCCCCCACCCCAGGCAAAGAAATGTTCCAGGACAGTTGATTTTATTTGGGCGAAAAAAATAATCAGCTGCAGGATTTTTCATCAAGGGAAGTGCTGGGAACTTGATTGCTTCAGATCAGAACAATAATTTAGTCTCCAAATGTAGCTATCTGAACGCCGGGCAAACCGGAATCGGAAGGACAAAGAACGTCTCCACTTAATTAGGATTGGGCACCAATTATCCCGTCTTTGTTTGTGACAAAAGGAATCTTCTCACACGCTACTCACGTAAAGGCAGGGCATGTACACTCGGTTGCCGACAATCACGTCGATGAAGTCGTCTGCGCTGCAGTCTTCCCTGAACAGAACCTCAGCATTGAAGATTTCTTAGGATGGGAGAGCTAAGGCTCATCGCCTTTCGTGGGACTCACGCTGCTTATGGCCACACGGGCAGAGCACAGCTGGGACTCAACTTCCAGGCAAGCTCGTCCACCTCCTCATCAACCCCCCCCTTAAGATCCTGGGCCTGGGTCTTTGGGGAATGCCCCTGAGGCAACCCCCAGGAGGATCCTGAGAAAGGATACTGTATTCATGAAGGATGAGCTGCACCAGCTTCTCCGAGCACTGAGTCAAGGTCACGGTGGAGTTGAAGGAGATGCCGCCTCCCTTCTTGGGCTGGAAGGAAGACAGAGGTGCTGTTAGGTCGACAATGCTGGAATGCCCCTCGGTGCCAGCTCCCCTCACAGTGCAACCAGCTTCCTGTGTCTCACCTTGAAGTAGATGTTGGGTTTATTTTTGTTCAGCCGGATGCCAACTGTTTCTAGTTCCTTTTCCAAGAGAGCTCTGCAGGAGGAATCACAGCACACACTCAAACTTTTCCCCAAATCCCTGGCTGAGCTCTCTTCCCACACCATTCTGCCCCTCAGAGGCCCCTCCCCTCCCTCTGCTGACCTTTGCACTTCTCCCTGGGTGGCTTCCAGCATCATGATGACGACATCTGAGGTCCGGGCCACCGCAATCACTTGGCGTCCTCGGCCCTTCCCTAAAAACACAAAAGAAATGACTCTTGTAGAGAAGCTGACAAAAAACCAGGGCATAAAAGGGGGGCTTGTGTTCGTTTTTTTGACCTGGTCAATCCAAACAGAAACCCCTTCTCTGAAAGTTGACATAGCCATTGCTTTCTCCTACGACAGCCCAAGGGCAGCTTTCTTCCCTCCCCATTTGACAAGCCTCAACTGTAGGACTTCCTTATTGTTTTTTATTTTGTTTGTTTGTATCCTGCCTTTACTATTTTGGCAAATAACCCAAGGCGGCGAACATATCCAAAACAATACATCTCCCTCTTCCTATTTTCCCAACAACCACAACCCTGTGAGTTACTTGGCAGTTAAAAAGCAGAAGGGAATTCCAACCTTGAGCAGCTCCTTCAATGATCCCAGGAAGATCTAGAAGCTGGATATTGGCTCCTTTGTACTGCACATAAATGAAGAAAAATCAGAAAAGGCAATCCACCACTAAGCATCTCACATGAATCTGAGTGCTGATTTAATTAGCAGCACAGCCATCTATGAGCTTCACTCTCATAGAAGTAACAATATCTACATTGGCTTAATTGCTACCTGAGGCAAAAGGGAGCCCATGAGAAGTACATTTACCTCTATGACTCCAGGAATGCAGGTCAATGTCGTGAATTCATAAGAAGCTGCTTCACTAGCTGTGGAAGTCATTAAACTCAGAAACGTGGACTAAAAGAGAAGGCAAAGATTCAGAAAACAGAACTTATTTTCAAAGCCATGCCTGAAGAGTCCTTGTTCTCTGCTCAGCACTGACCTTACCCACAGAAGGGAAACCAATCAGCGCCACCCGGGCGTCCCCCGACTTCATCACATCGAAGCCTTCCCCTTTGGCTGCAGCTGATTTGGAAGGCTCTAGAAGCTGAGCTCTGTACTTGGCAAGCTTGGCCTTCAGCAGACCCAGGTGGTACTCCGTAGCTGGGGGGGAAAAACGGAGAAAGAACAAGCAGGTGACAAAGGAGCCAAAGTGGGGGAGGGAAGAGACTCAGGACGATCTGTTTCATTTCAGTCACCGGGAGTTCCTTGGGCAGCAGCTATAATAAATCTAAAGCAATATTCATCATAATGCTGTAGTAACATTTTTTTGTTCGTTTTTCTTTCTGCACTTGGTAAATATAATCCCAGGCGGCCCTTTTCTGCTCCTCTTCCGATTTTCTGTGCATGCTCCCACTTCTTCCATGCGAGCTGTGCCAGCCATCTGCTTCCACGCTTGTGGACCGGCAGGGTGGGGATGATGGCAGTCCATTGCTTCTGGAGGCTGGCAAGAAGGGGAAGAGGTGGCAGAGGAGGAAGAGGAAGAGGCAAACTGGCCCAAAGGGAATCCTGGTGGTTTCAATGGCTTTGCTAAGTTTTGGAGGAATGCATCTGATCCTACTGAAGGCACCAGTCGTTTATTATTGTTATTGTTACTATTAAGTCTATTTGCCGCCTGCCTCACCATGGGCTACTCTAGGTGGACCACAACCATAAAAAAGGAAGAAACAAAAAGGAAGTTTTAACAAAGCTAAAGTAAAATAAACAGAACAATAAAACAGAGAAAGAAAACAGTTCATTTAAGCAGCCGTTTACTGTATTTAGGAAGTGTATAAAACATAAATGGACGCACACGTACACCCACACTCACACATATACAGATACATATACACATATATACAAACACACACACACGTATACTACATGTACACGCATGTATACTATATATACAAACATATTCACGCATATATACATACATACCCATATGATCGAGTCAGATTTTGAAAAAGACTCATTTAATTTCATTTTGCGTTAAATGATACCCATCCCACCCCCATTGAAATAGCACAGCCAGGCCCATAAATAGCCGGCGGGGTTCCTCCCTTCAAGAGGCCAAGCGCGGGCGTCTCCCGAGGCCTGCAGACCCGCCAGGCCGCCCTCCAACAGGGGAGGCGCCCCTTCACGGCCCCGCCGAGCTGCCCCACCTCACCCTTATTCTTCTGGGTCCGGGCGATCTCCTTTTCGATCTCCGCGATCTTCTCCAGGATCCCCATCGTGGCGACTCGGGCGGAACGCGATGAGGGACGGGCTACCCCGGAAGTAGTTCCCGGGCAGGTCCGTCCTGCCAAGCCCTCCGCCCGGCAGGCGACGTTTCGTTCCGCTCCTGTCTGGGAGAGCTGGAACGGCAGGGCAGGCCGCGTAAAAGGCAAAACGGTTGTATGACGCTTACAGTAAACAGATTTTTTTTGCTTTGCTTTGTTTAATGTTTACTACAAACCATGAAATAAGCCAGGGCTGTCTAATCTTGGCAGCTTCATGACCGGTGGATTTCAACTCCCAGAATTCCCCATCCAGCATGGCTGGCTGGAAATTTCTGGGAGTTGAGGGGCACTGATCTTAAAGTTGCCAAGGCTAGACACTCCTAATATAAATGGTCAGTGGGCAGAAATTTATCATATATTATTTAGCACACATATAAAAATGTTACTTAACCTATATATTGAAATATTATTTATTAAATCCGTACACAGCTCACAATCACCAAGTTGAGCTATGTACACATTTCAATAATAGGAAGGAATCAACCCAAGTCTTCCCCCCCCCCTCATCCTATCCCCATTCCCAGGACTTAAGGGTCACTTCTGTCTTCTTTTCATTTCTGACATGCTTGCTTCTGAATATCTGCTTCTCCCTGGACGTCTACAACCCCAAGGACAAATGAAGAAGCTTCTTTAGCTGATGGGCAGGGCTACGGCCATCAGAGCTGCAAATGGCTATTGGCTAAAGGTCGGGCAGTGCAACAGTACTACAAAACTCACATTGCAAGTATTACAAAGCCCACCCTTCATGGCTCTTCCACCCCAAAGGAGAGTTGGGCTCCTTAGCAAAGGGCAGAGGGCCAAACAGAGCCCTATAACATCACAGTGACCAGGCCAAACACAAAATATATTTTTAAACTGCTGATCTTATTTCAATCATCCAGATATCCAGTATACAAAGCAGCCATCATGACATCTTGCAAGAAAGTGATGGAAGTGTGTGTGGGGGAGTTTCTCACTTTCAGAAATTAGAAGTGCCTTTGACCAATGTTTGAAGTAATGAAGTAGGAATGTGAAATTTTTGACAAGCACAAGTACATCAAGGATGCTGGCCCAATTATTCAGATGTCCAGACATCCATGACTTGGTCCCCCGCCCTCAAAAAAAGAGTTCTTACTGAGTGGCATCTATCCTGCCGAAGGTGGAAATACTGATGTTCTATAACTTTCTCTGCCCAGGGAAAACAATTAGAATGGTCCAGATGGTTCTGAGCCTTTTGGAAAATATCAACTTAAGAATTATGAGCCTAATTCAGCTGGGCAACCTGTGAAACAGGGATAAAATAAAGAAAAGAGCACACATGGATACTTTTTAAATACACATTCTTTTATTTGGGACACATAACTCTGGAAGAAAAAAACCCAGTCTCTTTTCTGCAATTCATCTATAAATACTCTTTAATACTCTGATTAACTTTATATAAAATCCTTTCTATACATTTTGGAAGATCCCATCCTTGAAGTCCTCTTTGACAAGCTTTGTCCGGTTTTCTCAACAAACCCAGAGGCAACAGCTCTTCAGTTTAATGGCGATGGGGGAGGGAAGGCTACTTTCAAAAGAAAAGTTGCTTCCTGTACACCAATTTAATTCCCACCTATTTCATCTCAAGTGCAAGCATGTTAGTGCACCAAAGCAGGGTCCTACGCCAAAAGCGAGCACAACCCAAGGAGCAGCAACCAAGAGTTTGTCCTGCAAAGTGTGGACAGGACTAGCCTCACTTTCACTTTCTTCCTGTATGTTACAGGGGAGGTGCTGAAATAGAGGCAATCTCTCTCTCTCTCTCTCTCTCTCTCACACACACACACACAGTAAATTCTCATGTTTTCTCTGGCCAGCCCTTTTAAGATCATTTCTACCATAAAAGTTTAATTCTTTTAAGTTTCACTGTTCAGCCTCATTGGCTGCAATGGCTCTGGAAAACCCTTTAACTTAGCTTCCCCTGGCAAGCTGTGACCCTTCAACCATTTTTCTCCCGTGCTCCAAAGGTTATAGGAAAGTTATCACTCGCACCTGGAACAGGTAGGTATGGTGCCTATCCACCTACAGGCACTACTCCTTCTCCACAAGAGGCTGAATTTGCCCAGAAACAGTGGGAGAAGCAGAAGGCAGGGAGTTGTGATTTTTAAGAGAGGAAAGAGGCTTTGGGGATTTTGTAGGATGCTCTTCTTACCTTTGTGGCTGGGCGTGAATATATTGCATGAGGGCTAAATGGGTTTTCTGCCTGACTGATGGAAAAGCTTGGTTTGAAGCTGGCATGCTCCGACACCCATGCGCTCTCATTGAGTTAAACAATTAGGCTCTGCAAACGCACACCCAGCGCTCACCAGGAGGTGTCCAATCTTGGCAACTTTAAGACCGGGGGGGGGGACACTTCAACTCCCAGAATTCCCCAGCCAGCCACAGGTCTGAAACTTGCCAAGGATGGACACCTCTGCTTTACACTGTGGCTAAGAGAAGCAAAGAGCCCACCTTAAAATGCACAGCTACCTTGTGCCGAAGGATACAGTATAGGGTAGGCTGGTGGTTATTCTTTTAAATAGTCTATGTCTTAACAAGCCAAATTCTGATTTTATTTTTTAAAGAAAGTAGGGTTCTGCAATCCACATGTCAAAATAGAGTTTTATCTTCTTTTCCATTATTTATTCCAGCTTGGCTCGCTATCAGGAAGAACAAAGAGCCACAGAGAAGACACTGCCCCAACCTACCACTTTCAAGTTCTTTTTTTCAGCAATCTATTTCGCAAGCGACAACACTTTTTGACCCCATCATTCAAGGCAGGTAAAACCAGGAAGCAAATTCCATACATCAAGAGCGCAACCTGTCATTTTTATTCCCTCACCCTCCACAGGACTGTGGCATACACACAGTGCTGGAGACAGAGAAATTCTTCCTCCACCCAATTACCACCACTATGAGCGCTTCTGATCCTGCCACACAGGAAGGCCGAGCCTCAAAGAGAATGCAACCATAACCTGTATCTTTGGCCACTGGGGACATTCTGTCCCTGTCCATTGCCAGACACTGCAAAGTCCAAGGCACCTGAGGGAGAGACAGGAGGGCAGGGGGTGGATTCTAGGCATTTTGAAACAAGCAAACAAGCAAGCAAGGAGGACAGCATGCCCAGTTCACAAGCTGCATCGTGTCCCACCCACCCCCATCAGCGATGCAGAGAAGCAAGTTGCAGAAGCCTCTCACCCTAGGAAACAGGACAGCCATACTTTTATACTATCACAACATGCATGAGGTTTGGCGCAGAGGCCTTAAGTCACTGAACATTGTAAAGTCTCAGGAGACCAGTTTATTCGGGGAGGGGATGAAGGTTTGATAAAGTCGAGTGAACATCGTTTTCTGCAGGGTAAACCTGGCGCGCACATCAGAAGCGCAATTTGCACACCATCACCAAGCGCTTCCTTCGTGAGGAGTTGGCAACACTGTGAGATAATTACAGAAAGAGAGCTCACCACCATCAATCAATGTGAGCTTGCACTCATTTTCACCAGAGGGAGAAAAAAAAATATTAAAAAGCAGCCATTGTAAATTATCATGAAGAATAATTTGTGCACGTTATCACACAAGTCTTTGAGCCAGCGTTGAGGAAGTGGGCCATAAAAACACCTCACTTTAAAGAAGTCCTTAAACATTTTCCATTTAATGTTGCAAATTCTGCATCAGCATATGTAGCTTTCCTGCCACTGTAGGTTGCTTTAAGCTCGCGCTGCTGGGACTGGCTAGCAAGAAAGTTTAGCTTTGTAAACCAGCAGGAGATTACTCTTCCCACCCTAGCCAGGCCCCGCTTCCTTCGACCAACTGCTTCCTTAGCAAACACTGCAGTTGTGGGCCAGACACATCAACCTCAAGTAGTGCTTAGACCAGACAGGCCCCTCGCCCCCATTCTGGAGGAACCCCTACACAGAGCCAAGGAGGAAGCAACATAAGCAGGAAGCAACTTATGTTCTCTTCTATTCCAAGGAGGTCTGGGGAGACGTGGACATTTCCTCCCCACAAAAGGAGCAGAGGGAAAGGATTGTCAGCGATCCCGAGAGGCGAGCTTTGAAAGAAAAGGACATTGAACGGTAGCCTTGAGGCCAGGCTACGGAATCAGGTTGGCCACGCAGCTGGAAGAAGGATCAGGCTCCGGCAGTCCCGTGGATTCCCCTTCGTGCTTTCAGGCCGGTCCAGATGCCTGCAAGAGGGGAGCCTGGTGTCTTCTGTCCTGACTGAGACATCCCCGTTGTCTGAATAGAAGATGCGCCCTCGCACTCGCCTCCTCTCTCCCCACCCCCCGGCCTCACTGGCCATCTCTTGGTGAAGCTCTTGGCATCCCTGTCACCGGAATTCGTAAATGGGCGCGCTGTACTCAGGGACGTGAGTCAGATTCAGAGATTGATACCTGGGGGAAGCAAGGAAAACAGGCTGAGCAGAACAAACCTGGCTGATTCTGCAGCACGGCAACGGGTTTCCAAGGCTGTAATGACTGGGAACTGCAGTCTCGCAGCATCAGAGAGCCCTGGTGGCGCAGTGGTCAGAATGCGGTATTGCAGGCTAACTCTGCCCACTGCCAAGAGTTCGATCCTGACCGGCTCAAGGTTGACTCAGCCTTCCATCCTTCTGAGGTCAGTAAAATGAGGACCCAGATTGCAGGGGCAACATGCTGACTCTGTAAACCGCTTAGAGAGGGCGGTAAAGCATTGTAAAGTGGTATACAAGTGTCAGTGCTGTTGCTATCAGATTATGGGCCCAGGTGGCCTTTGGCAGCAAACTATTGGCCTCGGCCCTGATGTGATCTGGACCTGCCAGGTGGACAAAATAAATTCATTTGTATCTCAATACATTAGTCACCCAAGCACAGCAAACACGCAGGACGGTGTCCCTACAACCTGGTCTTGGGCGAGGAAGGGTTCAATTTCCCCTCATCCCCCGTCTTACCATTCTGAACTCCTGTGATAGTAATAGCCCTCTATACATGCTGCAGACTTCTGAAAGCATATGTAATAAAACCCAGCGAAGGATGCCCCGCTGATGTCTTTAATGGTGTGATCTGGGACGAGGAATTGCTCCTGCACAAAAATGAAACACACAAAGACAGGGAAAGCTACGTGATCTTTTAAAGAAATTAAAATTCTTTCATGTACTATTATACCTGAAATAAACATGCTGAACCAAACCCCCGTTTGGAGCAGTGTTTCTTAACTTTGGCAATTTTAAGATGTGTGGACCCAGAATTCCCCAGCTAGCCTGAGAAACTCCCAATTCTGGGAGTCGAAATCTTAGAAGTTGCTAAGGCTGAGAGAAACACTACTGCACAGATTGCTGGGGGGAGCAAATAAAAGTAACTTTACTTTTCTTAGATTAAGGGGAAGGGATTTAAATCCAACTTTAGCCCCTTACCATTCAGAGCCCTCATAAGGCACCCTGTGGAACTGGGCTCAAACAACTTACTTTCCACCTCATGAAGACAAAGTCGTCATTTTTCAGATCCTCATAATCAAAATCATCAGAGTTAAATGTTTTTGCGAACTGGTAAAATGCTGGGAACTTCCCCTAGGAGAAAAGGGGAGACACATCACTGATGCCCTTGACAATCCTGGGCCGATTTAAGAGCACACGCATTCCAAAGCAAATATTATCCCAGGTTCTCACTGAGTTGGGACACCGTGCTGCAAACACCCAAGAAATGCTCCTTCTTCCCCAAAATGTGACCTTGCATGGAAAGCTAGCAAGTCAGGGAGAAATCTCCACGGATCCTACTTCCACAACACCTCCTGCGTAAAATAGCTCTTGTATCTCTCAGTCCCTGCCCATAGGCAGGGGGATCCAGGCGAGTGAAATCAAAGGCAAGGGACTCACCCAATGTTTACGATCCACGTCTTCATCTGCGTCCCATTTCCGGGTTAAAAACGGATGCTTTTTACTGATTATTTCTCCTTCAAAGAAAGTCGTAAGTGTTGGATACTCCTGCGAGTAAAGGAGTGAAGTGGGGGCATGATGAATATACAGAAAAAATCCAGGATTATTTTCCCCTTCTACTTTCCTAAATGTGCGTGGGCATTGAAGAACGCCTTCAGAATGACAGTCTGCTCCAGACACATACCTCAGTAAGGCCTTTAATCTTCAAATATCCGCAGAGATAGGAGTTATCCATGTCAACATGCTGGAAAACAAAAGGTAAACCATCCAAAGATCAGGCCTGAGGCTGGAACAAACAGATCAAACAACCAAGAGAATCTTCCTCTGCAACTGAGAAACAAGCAAGATGCCCTGAGCTTCAATTAAAATGGGACTAAAACAATGTTAACACACTTTTGCTACATTCTCTGAACTTTCATCCTTCTGAAAAAGTCAATGTTTCAAGAAGCTAGAGCAGCACTGAAAACAGCCCTGTTCTCTCAATTCCAGAACCACATTTTGACCACCGACACCATTCGTCAAGACAGTTCAGGAAAGGAGCCGGCACCCATGTGTGCGTTCTTCCATCTAGCCTGCAACTCTCCTTGTCTTGAGCTTCCTCATTCCCATTCCAAGTTTCCAGCCCCTTCTGTCAAAGACAAAAGCCCCATCAGATTCCTCTTTGCTTTTTCTAGCCTCCTTGGCTAAAGCAGTTACAGGCATCAACCTTTCCACGCATCAAGGTGGTCTTGAAAGCAAAGCCCCCAGATTTACCCATCTGCTTTATCTGCTTAGAAAGAAACCACGAGAACAGTTTGGAAAAGAAAATGCAGCTTCAACCCTCTCTTTCATTTCAAAGGTCTCCTTCATAGGGTCACTTGGAAAGAATTTTGCCAGGTTGTCAAAAATAGCCCAGGAAGCAAAAGCAGAACAATAACCAGCGGATGCTATTCAGGGCTCCTGCCCTTTATGACTAAGGCATCGTTTTGTCTGTGCTTTGAGAGGGTAAGTCAGGTTACAGAGGAAACAATGCAGGTCTGGTTCTAAAAATTGCCTGAATGTTGGATGGAAGTTGTCCAAGGACACATGAGTTTTTGGAGACACAGCCCACGGGTGGCCTGGATATAAAAGAACGGACTCTGCTGGGCTGACCAGAGTTCTCTGCGAGCTAACATTTTATTTCCAAGGTTGGGCAGCCAGAAGACCATGGTTTGCTCCTTTGGGGTCTGACAGCTGGGATCAAGACCCTCGTGCAAATAGGTTCCCAAGGCATCAGTTGCAGATGTCACATCTAAACAGACCTCTGAAAATACTAGCAAACCTATTTTACTGACATAAAGGTGTGCTGAAGACTACAACATCTCCCAAAGACCAGCCCTGATAGCAGCAGAAAGATCTAAAGCTCTGAAAAATCTAAAGCTCCAGAGGCGGTCAAACACCTTTCTTCCCCAAAAGGTGGGCTCACCTACTGAGCCCCAAATGCTTAATTCAGTATTAAGCAAGGACGAAACAACCGGCCTCCTTAAAGTCAAGCCTTCTCCGGTTCTGTTCTTTCTTTCTCAGAGGCAATGCTGATTTATTTTCTGGCAATGCTTATTTATTTTCTTTTATTTCATTGATAGGATTTACACAGCCCCACCACCTCTTTCATGCAAAGGTCCTAGGGAGCTCACAGCAAGGAGAGTTGCAGGCTAGATGACAAGGATCAAAAGCCCCGCATCATTTATCTCCTCTCCTGGTGCCAGAGCGATCATCCCCAAGGCTCAGCCTCCACCCCAGCCCAATGCCTGGGGAAAGAGCCAGGTCTTGGGGGCTCTCTAGAAGGCCCAAAGGGCAGGAGCCCCTCAAATCCCTGGGCTGCTCCAAAAGGCTGGAGTGGGGGGGCACTGAGGAGGGGCGCCTCCAAGGCCCCATCAGGTGGCAGATTTCCAGGGAGGAAACCGAGAGCCACCCCATCTAAGCTAGTAGGAGCACCTCCCCTCTCCTGCCTTCTGCACCTGCCAACTGGGCAGGAGGACTTGCAGGGCACACCTGGATGCCTGTGAAGGGGGGGGGTCCCTGGGTCTTCCCTCCAGGCTTCGCTCCCATCCTGCAGCCAACCCCGGGGGTCTTTTGCAGCCCACGGTTCTTGCAAATCCCAGCAAAATTGGGGCGGAGGTGGAGGAGATGCCAGGAACGAGGAGCGGGCGAGGGACTCTTCTTGGAAGGAGACCTTCTAACCCCTCTCGCCCCCCTTCCTCTGAGGGGAGAGTCCGCTTCCACGGAGCCCCTTCGCCCCCCTCCCCGAAAGGGAATAGGAACCATCCGCGGCCTTAATGCCATGGGCGGGAGTGGGGGGAGAGAAGACATCCCTTTTCTTCGCCACCCCCTCCTTTTCCTCCCAGGCCAAGGGGAAGGCCGCAGGCGCGGGGGGTGGAGGCGCCGCCGTGGAGGATGGGTCCGGTGCTCCCGCTCACCTGCACGACCACCTCCACCTCGTAGGCGTTGCCCTTGGAGCGCTGCTGCCCGCGGAACTTGGCGCCGCTGTACAGGCGGCTGGTGCTGACGCCGGGCTGCGCCGTGTTGATGGGCGGCGGCGGCTCCAGGCGGGCGGCGGCTCCCGGGGCCGGCTCCGGCGGGCAGCGGCAGGAGCTCCGTACCGGCATCTCGGCCGGGTCGCCCGGCGCCAGCGCGACGCGGGCGGGCGGGCCTCGCTCGTCCTCCGTCCCCCGGCCGGCCGGCCTGCCCACCTCTCTGCCCGCCCGCAGCCCGGACGCCGCTCGCTGCGCCTCGGCTCCGGCCCGCTCCCCTCGCCGCCGCCGATTGGCTGCCCGCCGGGCCACGCCGCGCCCGATTGGCCGGCGCGGATCATGTGCGCGGCGGGAGGGGGCGCCGCTTCCGCTGGGGACACGGCGCGGCGGAGGGCACAAATCGCGTTTGTGACGCCGATTGGCCGCGCGGCCACCTCTGACCCCGGCAAGATGGCGGCGCCCGGAGGGGCGGGACTGTTACCTCTGGGGAGGAAGAGAGCCGATTGAGAGAAGCCGCCGTTGGAGTCGTCTTCTTCCCGTAAGGGTCTCTGGGCGGCCGGCGGGGAGCCTCGCGGGCGCCTCCGAAGGGCCGCTGCCCGGCATGTGGCGAGGGAGCCTCGGGCGGCTGCTTGGCAAGGGGCCTCTGGCGCCGGCTCGCCCCGCGCCCCGTCCGGAGGCTTCCCCCGCGTCCTTCAGGCGGCCTTACGCGGCCCAGGCAGGTGAGGCGGGGATTATACGCCCTGTGGCCACTGTGACTTTATACCCTTTATTCCAGAAAGCTGGCTTTAGATTTACTCATATTTTTAAAAAGCTCGCTTTTGTCCTTTATTTAGATAATCTGACTTTTACGGTACAATACGGTACCGTTTGATGTAGAGTCTTTTACATCCGGGTGAAAACATGGAAATTTAATTGTCTTTTAAAAAATAAATTAATGAATGCGGTTTGATTTAGACATTTTTATTTGAATGGTGCCTAATTATGCTTCAATTTATTTGGACGGTGTCCATTAGGTATGTAGATTAACTATTTGTGTATTTTTGTCTTGCAGAAAGAAAAAGATTTTACCAAAATGTTAGCATCTCCCAAGGAGAAAGTGAGGACAAATTTACATTAAGCTATATTTGTTTATTTGGACCCAATTATGCTATTGAAAGATGCACTAGAGGAAAAAAGAAGCTTTGTGGCCAAACAGGAAAATGAATCTATATCTTGCTCTATATTTTCTAAAATTCCACTTGTGTCTGTGTGGTGAGCTGAAAATCCATGTTCAATGCAGGATATTGCACTGTTATAAACGAACAAAACCACCAAAGTTTTAGGTAGTTCTCCAGAGAGTTTCATAGTTATGAAAACTTTTGTTAATATGTCATTGTCATTGTCAAAGCCTAAATATTTATATCTGATGTGGGCTTCCCAGCCCCCAGAATGCTCTTTGCAACCAATCTTGGAAGGTCTTCTTATGTTTTTAAAGGCAGTTTTACGAGTTTTAATGGCAAAGCTTGCCATCCTCATCCTTGCCCTTTACCGAGGGGGCAGGAATAGGACAAATGTTCACCTCTTGAAGCTGAAGTACAGCAAAATAAAAGCAAGTTACAGCACGGCAATATTTAATGCCACAGTCTCTTCTTTCTCTTCAGGTGGCTTTGAAATCAACTTGGACAGCCGGAAGCTGAAAACTCCCCAAGCTAAGCTCTTCACGGTGCCCAGTGAACCTCTGGCTTTGGCTGTGGCAACTGAGTGGGAAGCCCAGCAGGACACTATCAAGTTCTATGCTATGCACCTGGTGTGTGAAAGGAAGGGGCCAGCCGAGCAAATGGAGATTTGGAACCACAGTCAGTTGGGTCTCTTTGAATAAAATAGAGCCAAGGTTACTGAAACTACAGTTACATTAGGAGAAAGCGGGCTGTATTTACAAAAGCTGATTTGGTAAATTATTTAGGTAATAATGAACTGCTTTCTACAGTTACCATGTTAAAAAACAACAGTAAAACAAAGAACTTGGCACATTAGACCCCCCCCCAAAGAAAGCTCAATCCTTTAGCCCAATTTTGTATGATTTTTTTCTATTTACAACAAAACTGTTTATACTTTTGGCAAAGACAAATATGTAAATTATGAAAAGTTGATAGACCAAATTTGATGAAAATTCTGGGTCTGTATTAAAATCGTGTAAGATGCAAATTGGCACAGCCAGTGACAGGGAACATTTGCACAAGAAATTTGGTGTTTTTTGTTCTAATAGATTCTAATAGCTTAGAGTTCAAGGTCTAGATTGCTAAAACTGCTTTGTTTTTTAGACCAACTTGTGCAACACAGCTTTGGACAACCCATTGCAGCGAAGCAAAAATCAGCTCATCCAGGCAGCTCTGAAGTTTTTGGAGACAGATACTATCTGGTAGCATTCATTTTGGCTTCTAGGTTATATTTAAGGTTGGAAATTTGAAGACTTCCTTGTGGTGTAAGGTTTAGGTCATCCAAGGAGAGCGATGGGTAATTGGGCCAGTCATCTCATGGGGATGTTGTTTCCTGGATTTTTAGCTACCGAGTGGAGGAGCCACCAGCCTTGGTAGAACTGCAGAAGAATGAATGGGACCCAGTAATTGAGTGGGCTGAGAAAAGGTAAGTATAAGCAGTGAGTCAGTGCCAAAGTAATTGGATTCTGACTTTGTTTCCTCCTTGCTCGGAGACTGATGTATTCCATCTCCAGATACAATGTTGTGATTGGCTCTTCAACAAGCATAATGGCCTCTACCCTTCCACAAAGCACAAAGGACACCTTCATTAGCCACCTCGCTTCATATAACAGTTGGGCCCTTCAAGGTATGTTGCATAACATCCTGGGATCTGGTGGATTTCAAACTGTATTGGATTAAAATGTTCTTCATGCTTTTCTACGTGGTGGTGGTCCTGATTGAGAAATGGCCATTAATGGACCTTTCGCTTTTTAAATTGAATATTTTAGCTAACTGTTCTAACCTTGAAGCATAGAAGAACATACTTTATAAGAGAAAGTGACAGTTCTTCTTCTTTTATTAACACATTAAACTAGTTTGTTATTAAATCTTATATTTTGCTCACCAGGCATAGAATACATGATAACACAGCTGAAGTCTCTGATTCTTTCGATGAGCCTAGTTGACAAACACTTAACGGTTGAACAAGCTGTCCTTCTATCTCGGCTGGAAGAGGAATATCAGGTAAACCTTATAATGTGACAGGTTTTATACATTCCTACATGTGGATTCAGACACCGTGCTCAGCAGTATTGTGGCTGTTTCATTTTGGCTTATCTGTAGTGGAAACCTCTTTTGTTTTCTAAGTTGTGGCTTATGGCTTTGTCTCCTGTGTGAATCTGGGATTATTCATGGTATCATAGCTGAGTATACTGCTGTGATCAGTAAACAGAGCCATTATTGGATCTAAACGGAGGTCAGGAACATCCAAACTGAACAGGGCTTTAGTTAAGGAATATCCTTCAGGATATAACTCTTCCTCTTCCTGGAAAAATCAGCCAAACATCTTGAACCTGCCTCTGGGAGGTTCAAGGCATTTGGTTGATTTTTCCACGAAGAGAAACAGTTTACTTATGGTTACATATGGTTAGCCCCGAGTCCCGCAGTGGAAAGCAAGAGCTGCAATTTTATTTTTCTCTCTGTTGCTCTAGATTCAGCACTGGGGGAACGTGGAGTGGGCCCATGACTACGACAGGTATGACTTGCTGGCCCGCACAGCTGCTGCCACCCTTTTTGTCCACCTTTGCTTAGAAAACTCCACCGTCAAGCACAAGCTGCTTCAGCACTGAGGAACTGGAATACCAAAGAAGGGGCGCGGCAATCTGGATGAACCTCAAGATTCAGGTGGAATGGATGATGGAGAGGAGCTGGGAGCGTGGCTGGGCCACAGAGTTTGAGATGGGACTCTTCTCTCCCATTCCCTTGGAGGCTGATTCTCCCTGGAAGTTTTTGGGAAGGCTTCCCATCTAACTCACCTGGGCCGGCCATTCTGATGTTTCCCAGGTTCTGGATTTTGACTAGCAGGTAGACAGATTTCAAGAGCAGAGTGTTAGAATGCTCTATGAGCCTGCCAAAATGGATAGAAGGCCATATGCTGTGTCCTGGAGGACATGTAGCTAGAGGAGGTTAGAGGTGAGAATATATTACAACAATTGAGCACCTCTATTAAGATTGAAGACACTCTAGCTAGGAGATCCAACATGCCACCAATATCCCCCTTTGGTGACCATAAAGATCCTACTCTTGTCCCTCCCCCCAATTAAATTTAAAAGGGATCATATTGCAAACCAACATGGCAGGATCCACTGCCATCTTTATTTTAAAGAACCGTCTCTTGATTCCAAATTAGTTCTATAAACTTTATTAGAAAATAAAAAAACGATGACTACAGGTGAGTACTTTGTTTGGAAGTATGCTTTGAAGACAGACAAAAATAATCTGATACAATTTGTTCTTTTTAAAAGAAAATATATCCATTTATTCATTTTGATCATTAAACATTTTGGGGGATTAAAGAGCCTCTGCAGTGGGATACGTTCTTTGTGTTCAGTGGATTAGATTCAACCACAAGGAGACAGCCAGGCAGGTTCACTGCTAGTTGAAGAATCTAAATCCAGAAATGGAGTTTGCACGCTTCAGGACTGAAAGCAGCTACTGCTCCAGGATGTCCAAGTTATCCAGCTCACTACGGACATGATCAACATAGTAATTGAGTTCTAGCACACGGCTCCGGTTTCGGTGAATTTCATCCTTGTGAACCTTCAGGGATTGAAAAATGAAGATGGTAAACCTGAAGAAGTTTCAATTCTTATTTAGGATGCCTCTTTTGGTTTCTTAAGGTTAGCTAGGAGAACATTTCTACTCGTTTTTCCTTTCATGGCCAGCTCCATTGAGGGTCATTAAGCATTCTAGAAGTTCTCCCTTTCTCAGGAACGGCTTTGTCTTTTGAGGAAAAGCTAATGCAAGGGATGTGCACTTACCTTTTCAATCAGATTATAAACCCGATTGTTAGCTTTGGTGATGATTTCATCTTCTCGGTTGTCAATCTTCAACAGGTGAATATCATGGGAGGCGTTGACTGCATTGACAATGGTGTCTTTGTCGACAAAGAGCTGGAAGCAAAGCCATGGAGAAAAGGTCCTGAGGAGCCACTGATGGGGGTGTGTGTGGTGTCTAATGGCTGATCCAGAACAAGAGCATTCCGCCTCTTGCTTCCAGGGGAGTTATGGGAGGGGCAGGAGAAGCTTACCATGCGGACGTCATCCGGCATTTCCTCATCGTACTCGCTCTTCACTATCTTCTCCAGCGTGTTGATGGCTATTTCTAAGAGCTTCTCGTGATGGTGGTTTTCAAGATCCCGACATTGGGCCATCGTGCATCAGAAAGTTAAGAAAGAGAAAACAGGGCAGCCTTGCTCACTTCAGAGAACCGAGAAAAGCTTTGTTTTATGGTCACGAGAAGCACTTCCGAAACAAATCAAGGCAGGCCTGTGCATCTCTGGGTGATATACAATACATGAGCCAGCTTGCTCGCAGCTTGAAGCATTTTTTCCCTCAATTATGACACCTGCTCATCAAAAGGATATAATCCTTGCTCGTTCTCTATAAAAATCGAGACAAGATCAGCGATGTTCCTTTCGAAATCTTTTATAACTTCCTTGGGGGAGAAAAAAAGACAGATAGAAGGAATTTGAACCAAAGGAACTCCAAGACTTTTCACATTCCAGTAGGCTTACAAACTCCATTTCTCCTGGTTTGCTGGCGTAGCTAGATGTGAAAAGTGGAGAGTGATAGGTATGGCATAAGAGCAGTGGTGGTGCAGTGGTTAGAATGCAGTATTGCAGGCTAATTCTGCTGACTGCCAGCAGTTTGATCCTGACTGGCTCAAGGTTGTGTTAGCCTTCTGTCCTTCCGAGATCGGTAAAATGAGGACCCAGATGATTGGGGGTGATGTGCTGACCCTGTAAACTTAGAGAGGGCTGTAAAGCACTGTGAAGGTATATAAATCTAAGTGCTATTGATATAAGGCCATGAGTCTAGAAATGCTGATCATTTGCTGTTGTGCTTAAGAATATAAGAAATGCTTAGCAGTCTTGTTTGCTCAGCAGGGTTGGAATGGAAACTGACTAGTTTTCCATACTGTAGATCCCAATCTACCAATCATGTTTAGTAGATCCCAACAGTCTTCAAGGGACCTCTCCCCCCAAAATGTACATCGCCTTACCTCCAGCTGGTCAACCAGCTGCATCTCCAGAGACATCAACGTTTCATATAGCTTGGTGATTTCATCGTTGTACTCCACCAGCTTTAACTCGGCCATATGGGAGTCACTGAGGTTCTGAATTTCATCGACCGTCTACTTGTGGAATATGATACAGAAAACATTTTTCTTATGTCCCTATTCCTCCATTAACAGGAAGAAAAGATTCTGGCGAGGAAGCTACCTTACCCCATGGTGCTTCTTCTCAAACTCTTGAATGATTCTGGTGCCCTGATCTTGGTTGTCTTTCAGGGCTTCATTGAGGCACTCATAGAAAATTGCAATCTCTTCCTCTCGCCTTTTGTGCTGCTGCAAGCCATATTCAAAGAGCATTTGGCAAATCTCTACAAATTTACTCTTGTAGGTGTGGTTGGAATCAAAGAAGCAAAAATTAAATTAAAAAAAAAAAAAGGTTGCTTCATGACATGTCTAAGGCTGATTTCCTGCCGGGGTTGAAATGAGAACTGGAGCTCCTGCCTCGAAGGCGTGAATCTGAATCGGTTCTCTGGGAATGGTCATAAACATCGGAGCAATTTCCCATGCTAGGCTTCTGGATTTCCCTGGGAAACGTTTGGGGGAAGGTTATAAATTAGAGAGAATCATGCAAAGCAGATTTTGGAGGAGCTTCTTGGATTTGAAATACATAGAACATATAAGTCAGCCTGGAACCCTCCTGACATTATTCACTTTCCACAGATCCCAACTGAGGATCTGGTCTGGAGCATGGAACAGGAGACAGTGAACTGGTTTAGTTGCCCTGGATGGTGCTACTTTAACACAGATTTTGAAATTCCTTCCCCTCAACATAGCTGGGTTTGCTTTTTATTTGTTTAAAGTGTGACACTAGTCCTCATGACACCGGAGGACTCCCTCAAATCATATTTTCAAGACGTAACCCTCACTCTACAAAAACAGGAAGGATATGTCTCTAACAGCGCTGGAACGCCAGGAAGGTACATCAGCTTAGAAGCTTCAGGATCTTCTGTATACATGCTGTCAAAGAGATACGGTCCATCCAGATACTCCACGTAGGCAGACTTGGGAGAGAAACAACAAAAGTTAGTTCAAGGCTGTCTCTGTGTTAGGAGTCCTCGGGGGCAAAACAACTATGAAAAAAAGCAGATCACACACAAATGACCACATACAAATCATATGGGAAGTTTACACCTTGCGGTAAACTCACATCTTACACTAAAGGGGATTTGATTTTAGCACAGCAGGATGTGTTGATTTGTAAATTAGGATTTGGGACTTAACCAGGATCACCCTTCTTGGCGTGTGAATCCAGCTGTGGCATTCCCCTGGAGACTTCAGGTTTTATACTTCAGCATAGGGAACTGCGTTCCAGGACTAAGCAAATGGCCCATGGATGATTTTTCCTTTCAACACTGAAACAGACGCCTGTTGCTGACTCTGTTTCTGACTCAGTGATTTTTAAGGTCCCATTAAAACTTGGGGAGGCGGAAGGCATCCAGCAGCTTCTCCCCAGAGTCCCCGTGACCCACAGCCGCTGAGAGGGCAACATACCTTGTGGTATTCCACCTCCTTTTGCCTGGCCTCCCACTCCTTCTGCTTGGCCAAGGCCAGCGTTTCCCCATGCCTCATCTCCTCTATGGCATACTGGTACTTCAGCACGGCCATCTCTCGCTGGCAGGAAGGAAAGACGGGAAGGACGCTCAGCTGAGATTAGAACTGAGTTCTGAGGTCACGCAAGCAAAATGGAGTGGAGTGGCGGTGGGGCCTTGCCATCGCATCGGTTTATAATGAGATTCTTACCATGTTTTCCTCCACCAGCCTGAAATCCAGGTACACGAGATTGGGCAGGTAAGCCGCAATGAACATGGCGTACACTTCATTGTCACACATTGGGTTCCCAGTGAAGTTGAGTGTGCGTAGGTTTTTGAATTTTCTGAGATAGATCACCTGCGGTAGATGGACAAAAAGGCCCAGGTAATCAAGAAGCCTGTATCTGATCAATAGAAATACTGTAATATTTACAAAAGACAAAAGAAGTACGGATTTTTGGTTCAGGAAGCTTCTGTTAAGAAAATTTAGTACTGTCTAGTGCTTGGGCCTGGAGGAATTTCATTCTCAGATTTTAATATTTCCAATACAAGTTCAACAATTTTTTTTTAAATATTAAGGTCCACAATATATTATTATATTTCTCAAGTGGGTCAACCCAGAGACATGCTGTAAAGTGCTTTCCACCCTTCGTATTTATTTAGCATTAAATAAATCCTAATTATTAAGGTCATCTATGGTAGCTTCCTTAGCCGGTGAGTCCTTATCTAGCCATGGATGTGTCATTGTCCCCATATATCACCTTACCATAAAGGGGAAATCAGAAGAGGAGCAGCATGAACTAAAATATATATTCTGAATTCAAAACCGACTAAATGCCCAAGAAATGGGTGCCAAAGATTCACACATGCTTCGTAATCAAAACCTTACATTTTCCAGGTTGTTGATATTATTATTTCCTATAGAAAAGACTTGGAGTTCTTGTAGCGTATCCAGATTCTCAATCCTGGAGATCCTGTTATTGTACAAACTAAGGTCCTGCAACTTAACCAACGCGTCCAAGCCTTCAATGAGTTTGATATTGTTGAAGGACAAGTCTGTGGGAACACGTTTGGAAAGTGTGAGTCCCACAAAGAAGCCATCAAACTTCTCCCAGATAAGACCTGCAAACCCACACAGCCATTTGTATGGACTGATGTTAACAGCTCCTGAGAGAACAGCAAAAGCTGTCGAGAATCTATTGAATGGGGCTGGGTATAGATCCAGTAAATAAGCAAATGAAATCACTGTTATCAGCCCTTCTCATATCAGATGTCCCCCCAATGTGGACATCATCTGATCAGAAAGATAAAATAAGGGAGTACTGCACTAATCTCAATTCTACATAACAGGAAAAAGCAAAAACCATAGTCATAGAGAAATAAAGCATATTATCTATTCAGGTCAAGATGGACCTGGCAGGGCAGGGCAGGGCAGGGCAAGCAGCCAAGTAGCAAAGATTCTGTTTGCTCTGACATTTGACATAATTTCAGATGGCCTTATTGACATGTAGAAACATCAGCTATGAAAGATATATATGCAGGATTGCACTTGCAGAGATTTATCTGATGTGATTCTCCTTACCTTACCTAGCCAAACCAGATTAACCAGAGAATCCAGTGCTTCTATCTTTTCAATAATATTGTTGTCGAGCTGCAATTTTGTGAGGTTGATGAACTCCCAAAGATTGTCTATCTTCAGGATATCTGAGACCACATGAGAAAGAAAAGAACTACTTAGTTCAAGTTGGCTCAAATATAGTCAATACACTAGCAGTATCAGGGTAGATACGAACAAGACAAATCACAGTCCTGAATGTCAAACTCTCAGACTTCTAAAAAGTCTAAAAGACCCATCTTGCCATATGATTATAGCAGGTCCGCACTGCACAACATTCACAAAGAACTGGGCAGATTCTTACCCAGGAAATAACTTATGATCTGACACCTGCAAAACAATGAAGCATGGAGAGTATCCCAACACATCTGCAGAACAAACAACCTCAGAGAGCATCCCAACACATCTGGAGGCCAACAGATTACAGAAGGATGGAGTAGAAAGGGGGGAAAGGTGTTATCAACAGACTAATTATGGACCGTCCAGTCAGTGTCAACTTTTCACTATCACACGGGTAGGCTTTCTCCGTGCCCAGCCTGGTCTTTCAGGCCTTCCAATACCAACCAAACTGTAGCTTAAGGTGGAGTTAGCAAAATAACTCCCCGAATTATGCCCAATTATTCCAATCCTTTTCAGAAACCTCCTTAAATATGCAAGGTGAACCACTAGATGTTCCTGTGGCAACTTGTAAACTATCAAAGCTTCATAGTGGAAAGCAGGCAGGGCCTTTTTTATTTAAAAAAGAGGCTCTCCTTGGGGCTCTGGCCCTTACTTCTAAAATCTAGTTGCAGGGCTTTGACCTCCTTGAAATTGATGCCTTCCTTCTTGGCCAGCTGGCTGGCGTCGTCCTGAGGGCCCTGCTCCTCCACCGCTTTCTGCAGAATCTCCTCATTGATCACGTTGGGCTCAATGCTGTCGTAGAAGCGACTCATGTTCGGTAGGCAGCCGGGCCAAGGCTAAGCGGGTTCTGTCGCTGGCCCTGAAAGGCAAGGAAAAGTGACCCCCAGAGCCGAGAGTTCCTGGCTCCCAGCGACCCAGCAGGTCTTGCCAGGTCTCAGGGGCCCCTCGGTGTGCCCATGCAACATACAGGTAGTCCTTGACTTGCAACAGTCCTCGTTTAGTGACCACTCGAAATTACAATGCCCACTGGAAAAAAAGCGACTTAGGACTGTTTTTCACACAACTATTGCAGCATCCCCAGGGTCACTGGGGGAAGCCAGATTCTTTTAACAACTGCGATACTAAGTTAACGCCTGCAGTGATTCACTTAATAGCTGTAGCAATGAAAGTTGTAAAATGGGGCAAAGCTCATTTAACAACTGTCTTGCTTACCAACGGAAATTTGGGGCTCAATTGTGGTTGTCGGGGGCGTATCTCTTCTGCAGCTGCCCTGGTTGCCAGTCTTCTCTAGGTGGCTCAAGGCCTACCGGGCACGGGGCCTGGTTCCTTGCGGGACAGCCTCCCCCTGCGTGGACGGCTTGCCCCGCGCTCAGATCGGCACCTGGCTGCTCCGGGGACCCTCAGGCCTCGTTGCTGAGGAAACCGCGTCCGTTGCTAGGGAAGGTCACATGACCTCTAGTGGAGCTCGCCGCCTTTCTTCTCGCGTTTGAGCTGCTAACAGGTGAGTTCGATTCGCGTTCGCTTTGCCGGACGTCTGTCAGAGCTGGCGCACCAATGAAAAGCCACATAAACAGCCGTTCCCTCTCGGGATTGGTTGTGAAAGCCACACGGCTTGTGAATCACCTGCGAATGCTATCCAATAGTCTCCGGGCTTCTGCTGCAACGTTCTCCAATCGCGAAGCGGGGAAGGCGGGGTCCTTTCGCTCCCCGCCTTGTCGTCTTCTCTCAGACGCTGCCCGCTTTCAAGTCGAGTCTCTTGTCCTGACAGTGATGGGCGTCCCGCCCCTCCAATGACCAAGCGCCCCTCGGGAACCCTGTCCAATAGAAAGGGAGCTAGGGCCGTCCTACGGCGCCAGTGCCGCCGCGCTTGGACGCCTCCGCCGTCGCTCAGGCCGGGGAGGCGGGACGAGGTCGCGGAGAGAGGCGACGCGAGGTGGATCGGGCCGGGAGGCCGGTCGCGTTTGTTGTCATCCCAAGATGGAGTTTCTGCTGGGAAACCCCTTCGCCACCCCGGTGGGGCAGAGCCTCGGTAAGCCGGGCGCAGGGGAGGATTCTGGCCTTCTGGAGCTCGGCTGAGGCGCCCTCAGGCCAAGTGGGGGGCTGGGCCTCGGATGTGGGGGGCTTCACGGCCCCTCGCCCGCTCTGAGGCCCCCAGGGTCGGTTGGCCGGGGCTGAAGGGACCCTTCCACGCGGGGAGGGGGGCTCTGCAGGCGACTCAGAGCCCCCCTGCGCCCCCTCCCCAGTGACCCCCTTGCACCCCTCCCCCATGGGCCTCCCTGTGGCCCCGCTTCCCCCCCCCCGGCTGAGAAAGCAGCCCCTCCCCCCTTCGGTCCCTGGGGAGCCAGGTGGGGTTTTGGCCCTGATGCCTCATGGGGGGGAAGTCCTGTTGGGGGGAAGGGTTGTGGTCGGTTTCAATGTGTGGCGATGCCCCCCACCCCCCCCCCAAACCAGCCCAGAGAGGGGCTCTCAGGTGAGGGTGGATGCCCGGCTGGAGGAGCATCCCTGCCCCCCCCTTTTCCCAGCTGCCCTTCTGATGCTGCTGCTGCTGCAGCTGCAAATGAGCTTTTCCCTTTCTATAGAGCTCTGTACAAAGTCTCTCTGAATACCCATGGGGAGGGGGGTTTCTCTTGGGAGGGTCCTTGCAAAGACCCTCTGGGCAAAGGCCAGCTGTTTCCCTGGGGGCGGGGGTTGCACCCAGCCAAGAAAGTGTGTGCCGAGCCAGCTGTGTCACGCCCAGCAGGTTCCCAAAGCTGGATCAGACTGCAGGATGACATATGTTTTGTGGAAGCTTTGATGATTTTTAAGATAGATAGATAGATAGATAGATAGATAGATAGATAGATAGATAGATAGATAGATAGATATACACACTTACAGCGGAGAGATGTTTTGGGAGAGAACCAATATAAAAGATAATGTTGCCTGGCAGGCTCAGACTTTCAGCAATCTGCAGCCATTAGTGGAAAGCGTGGATAGGTCAGGGTTGGCGTGTGAATAGGAGGGGTACAAGGCCTTCAGAGACTCTGTGGCAGAGGGGACGGAAATTGGGGGAGCCACTATGGAGGGTAGAGGTTTTAGGAAGGCCCAGCTGGAGAATGAAGGAAGAGATCGCCAAAAGGGATGCTCAGAACTTATGGATGAAGTTTGAGCTAGGAATGCTGGCAGGAAGTGCCCAAGAGGGAAAATTGCCTTAAAAACATAGCAAAGTGCAGATTTAGAGGCCCTGTAATCTTGAGAAAGACTCCTGGGGGGCATCCAGGGAAGGATGATTAAATTGTTTGTGGATATTTGCGGTAACTTCTCCACTTAAGGCTCAAGAAGCTGTGGTTTTATTGGCTTAAAAACAGTGACTAAGCAGGGGTGTGGGAAGGTTGATGGGTGTACAAAAGCCACATGTCAGAGTGCAAGGACCTTGACGACACTGCTTTGCGATGTGCACCAGTTCTGTTTAAAAAAAAACAACCCCTTTCCATAATGGGAGTGTGCTTTAAGGAAGTTGCTGTGTGGCAGGTTGGGAGCTCCTGGATCTAACATGCCTTTAAAGAACCGAAGGATCCGACAATTGTTTGGTGAGTGGACTTTCTGATCAGTGGCCATTAAATCACTTTCTTGAACTCAGTGTGGAAATAGGAGAAAGTGAGTACAGAGCTGAGGCGCAAGGTTGAGAAATGTAGGGGAGAGGATACGCACATGTTGAGACATATAACAGAAATTGGAAGGAAGAATTGAGAAATGCAAAATCTGTGTTGGTTTCTACCTAGCTGTATAGTGCTTTTAGTTAAAATTAGGAAGTGGGGCGCAAGCTTTTCTTACTGGGAAGGATCTTGATCAGTTTATGAAGTTAACCCGCTTGCTTATGCATCAACACACACAGTCTTGTGAGTGCTGTAGAGATGCTTGATCCAAAAGTAGGTAAAGACTGTTTACTTTGGGCCCATTTTTCTTTGTGGCAGATGCTAATAGTTGAGAATGAAATAAGAGATCCTGTTCTAAAGGGCAACAGTCTAATTAGGGTGCCTTCATTTTGCCCTTGGAATATCAAAAATAGATTCTGGCCTTTTTTCTAACAAATTGTGACATTTTATTCAATGGAAAATGGATTCCAAGGGAGGGCTGCATAATGAAAGTGTTGTGTATAGTACAAGGAATGTCATTTACATCTGAATCTGTTGACCTTTACGAAGACCTTGAATAAGTGACTCGGAACATCCTTTTATTTAAAAGGAGACATTACTGCCATTCTAAGAATTTTCTTTACAGTACACGTATTGTTGCAATTTATTGGTATGCTGAGAAGTTGAAAGTCCTAGGGAGGCTTTCTACCAATTGGGAGAGAAAAACGTAAAAATCTCTGAAAGAGAAACAGATAAAAACAGAGCACTGCTTCTTTTTAAAAATTTTGTTTTGTTAGATAACCCTTTCTATGTGGTCTTGATTCGGAAGAGACTTCTAAAGTTCTGAATGAATTCCCCGAAATGTTGCTGCCTTGAAATTGTCAGATCTTTGAATTAGAACATATAGAGGCTAGTTCAAATACTGCACTAAGCCAGCAGAAGATTTAGTTCTTCTTGGTTTAGGATGTTGCATTATGATTTTTTAAGGAGTTATGAAACATAACTATAGTTTAGTTCACTGAGTGAACCCAGCCCGGTGGTACAATATAGGTAAAACTTCACAATGGAAGTAGCTGCGCTTGGAAAATTGTAGCTCTGTCTAAGCCTAAAATTGGCCAACTGCACAATGAGTAAAGAAGTTGAACTTACACACTATTATTTCTGCTCTCTTAGGCAAGAGATGGGAAATAATAGTATGAAAATCTTTATTCTGAAGAAAATGTCTAGTGGTAACGGATTGCATTCGCCTCTTTGACTGTTGATTTTTTTTAAAAAAATAACAAAACCAAAGGTTTGCTATGCACACAGTGTTTATCAAAGATCAAAACTTCCTACTTGGCTTGCAGAGTGGGGTCTGATCTCCGTCGACAAAGAGTTGCTTATATATATATCTATGTATTTCAAAGCCTCATGTCAGGAATTGCCCAAAGTTTAATTGCACACATCTCCTCCTCCCTAATTTGGAGTTTTCGTGTTGAAGACCTAGTAATCTTACAGACTCTGGGATATATGACACTGACATTATGTGACACAGTTGTTGACTTCCCAGGAAAAAGCGGAGATCTGCAAGTCGTGTACAGTATAACAAGTTTTCCTCTCGTGGCTTAGTGCAAATGGCCTTAAAAACAAACAAGAGAAGCCTGTGACGGATTTCACTTTAATTTGAACGGGGATGGAAAAACAAACATGTCCTGGATGAAAGAATAACCCTCTGCTGTATTACCTTGGCTGAAGTAGTTCATAGTTCACTGAGTTTTCCTTGTTGAATGTTTCTGTGGTTCTTCCTGGCTCATGTGTGTGTCTCACTGTTTGTCGTTCTTTGGTGGCTCTTTTGATATTAGGGAAGATGGGGATTAGTCCTATTAAAGTCTATTGGATTGATGACAGCTTTGTCATCTGCAATTAAAGCTGGTGGCCTCTGAAAATATCTAGGGCTAGAAATGCATCAGCATTGTACTTCCTCTGCTAGTAAATGGCATTGATTCCCATGAAAATTTAATCTCCAGCACATTAGGACATTGGGCAAACATGAGCAAGGAAAGGTTTGAGACGACCAGAGGCTTATCTTTCTCTGTTGTAAAATGTAAATAACTCAGCTGTGAAACAGGTTGAAGCAGTAAAGGAATAAACACTTCCTGAAGGTTAATGAGCAATATGTTTATATGTTTATATGCATCATCGCTGATGCAATGCCCTCTATGTGTTTGCTTTATTTGTGATGGCACAGAATCTTTTGACCGTGAAATATTGGACAAGATTTCTGTGAAAGCACAGAGTTGGCCAAATAAGCTCCCAGAGATGTGTTAAACTCTGAGAAGACCATAATAATTGTTCCCTGAGACTGAGAGTTAGCTAATGAAGGTACACACAGAATCTCAGACTACAGGATGTAAGATAATTCAGGCTGGAGGAAGAACTTCTCTGTGTCTTCTCAAATTGTGGATTCTTTCAGGCTTTAAATTCAGTTGGCTTCTCACTGGTGGCTACTCATCAGGGGTCTCCAAACTTGCAACTTTTAAGACTGGTGGACTTCAACTCCCAGAATTACTCAGGCAGCCAAATCCCCAAGTCTTAAAGTTGCCAAGTTTGGAGACCCCTGGGATGGACATTAGGAGAAATATTCGAACAGTGAAGCTGTTGGACACCAAACCCAGGCTTGTGTTAATAACGGCTTCCCAGTTTAAAACCAGTGAGGGACGCTGCCTTGTTTCATTATTGTCCATTTTCTCCAAGGAATCCAGGAAGAATCTCTGCCTCTCCTCCCTCTTTCTTCTTAGCTCCTTCCTGCAAGTAGAAAGGTGATTAAATTATATCTGTCAATAGGTCATGACTATTGCTGATTATGTACTTTTTAGTTCCTTTTCTCTAAGCATGGAATCTTCCTTGGGATCTTCTAACTCCTCCCTACTCTTGTTTTCAAACATGCAAAATTGTATGCTAGCTTCTGGCATATCCGGTGCTTAATAGCCAAATGCTAATGCAAAAATATTCCCGAAGACGAAGACAAAAACCCAAAGGGTGAAAGAACCACTTTAAAAAATAAAGGGGGGGGGGGAAATGAGAATGTTTAAGTTCTGTGCAGGATTCCAATTTTTTTTTTTTTAAATTCAGGTAGGTCTAGTTCGATGCAACATATTGTTAACTATGCAAACTATGGCTTGGCACACATGTTATTCTGTAGCACCACAGGAATAAAAATGATAAATCAGTAAAGCAAGCATAGGCTTGCATATAAAAAAATAGACCACTTCTCTTCCAATTCTCATTCTGTTTCCAATTAGATTGCCTGCTGACTAAGAGAATGGCTTGGTTCACACATCAAGCTAAGCCCCAATGAAATTTACAGTATTTGGGTTTCAGCTGAAGATACCATGTGAGTTTGGCTATTGTGGTTCATAAACCATGGCTTCAGACTTGACATCATGTAGCAACCCTTTTACTCAGGGGTTATTCAATAAACCATATTGTTTAGCTCAGTCAATCTGTCTTACAAGAATTGGATCTTAACTTACTGGTCTGCAACTGACCCTTCGTAGCATCCGTGGCTTAAGAGGATGGAGTAAAAGAGGTTGGCGAAAGTACCCAGCAGTGTTAGGTTCTAACAGCCAGCAATGATATATTCCACTGCAGTCACTCTAAGTAGCAAAGGACCATTCCCTTGAAACAGAAGATGGGGTGATTATTTTTCAACTTCGGACCACAAAACTCAAAAGCTACCCTTTTATCCCCTCTGATAAAATTGAGCCCTCTGCAGCACATATTGTAAATTAGCTGCTATGAATAACTTGACAAGACGCTGGAGTGGCCTCAGACCAGGATGTGATTGGTACTTGAGGTTTGGTGGTGGAATATTTCTGCAGACAAATAACATCGTACATGCCAGAATGCATCCATATTGCAAAGTGCTTTGAGAGTGCCATAAGCCTATTTCAGATGGATTATATTGTAAGAAGAAATCCTCAGGAATTGAAAATTAAATCTTCAAAAGAAGTGAACATAACAAGAAATAGATTGGTTGACTTAGCATTGTATGCTTTATCTCTTGCTAATATAAAGTACTTAAGGGTATTTGTGTGTGTGTGTGTGTGTGTGTGTGCGTACGTACATGCATACACACACACACGCACAAATGTATATTATACCCAGTTATAATTTGTCAGCTTTCAGCTAAATCAGAAATATTCAGACTGAGACCTCTTTACAAAAGACAGACACTTTGAAAATTGTTGCCCAACAGGAATTTTTCATGTAACAAAAGAAAAATAGATGACTAGCACATTACCATAATAATATTTCAATGCAAATGTTAAAAGAACTGATCTTTTGTCCAAGGCATAATGTCCTACTTTTTGCCACATCATTCAAAATTCAGTTCTTGGCCTGAAAAAACATTGTACAGAGTTTGATAACAACACTACTTGCCTAACAACTGTGCCTTCTGCCCACCTGTCTAGCAAAGGGTTGTGGGTTTTTCTTGTCTGCTTTATTTTGCATGTGGCCCCAGTCAAAACTGGGCTCATGAACTGTTGGGCTTCCCCTCCTTAAGAGGCGTTCTGGCACAAAAAGAAAAAAGGACACCACAGGTGATTCAGTGCTGTTGGCTGAAAGAGCATGCTCCATCAGATGGCAGAAAACTGGCAGACTCAGCATTTGATTTCAAACTATTTCTCTTCCGACCTACTTCTGAAATCTTTTCATCCTCCTGGTGTCTTTTTATGGGTCATTTAATAAACTTAAGACCCTTCAGGTTGCTCAGTTTTTGCAAACTGCGACACCGTCTGTTGGCACTATATTTTATGTAAATCCAAACAAGTGTGTGGTGGATCATTCGCCCAGAAGGATCTTGTGTTGTCCTGCACGGAGCTGTAGGTGAGGCTTACAAGTTTGGCCTAATGAACCGGCTGTCAATTTCTCAGAAAACGAGCAGCGTATTTGGTTGTCTTACAGAAAAGGCCACTGATGGCTCCCTACAGAGCGAAGACTGGACGCTGAACATGGAGATATGTGACATCATCAACGAGACAGAAGAAGGGTAGGTGTGCGTGCACCATCTTAGCTGACGGCAAAATTGCCTTTTGCAATTTTGGAGGCCTTTTTTTCTGGGAAGAGTAGTTGCTTGTTGGTCAGGTTGACTCTGCCGGCAGTTTGGATGCTCAGTTCAGTATTTATTTGCCTTAAATCTAACAAATGAAGATGATGCGAGAGGGACCAATGGCTTGAAGCTGTGTAAGCCAAACTCCTGTGTGTCTTCAGTCCCCAGCATTTGATTCTAAGCCTGAAGAAGCTCGTTAAATAAGATATTGTTCAAGAAGCTGCTCAACTATATTTCAAGCAGCTGGAATACTTTAGTCCAAAGTGGTTTTGTGTGTTTAAACGCCATCGCAGTATTGTTGATCAATCTCCTGCAGTCTCCTTTTAGGCAAAAGCATCACAAAAGCAACATCTTTTTGCTGGCTTCTTTTCAGCATCTTCATAGCTCCTGGCCTGGCTTTGGGTTTTGTTTTGTTTTTTTAAAAAAATTGCTGAAACTATTTTTGTGTTCGCTTGGGGGATTCTGTTCTCCTTTGAGATGCTCTGCTGTAATTGAGCCAACACTGGAGCCTCCAGGCACCCAGGTTCAAAACAGGCGTGCACAAACAACTTAAAATTGGGGTTGTTGTGCTTCTGTGCTTCAGAGGCACCTGGGTCTTTCCCCATCCTCTCCTCCTTCTCTCCTCAGCCCGAAGGATGCCGTTAGAGCTCTCAAGAAGAGGCTGAATGGAAACAAGAACTACAGAGAGGTGATGCTCGCTCTAACAGTAAGTACAACTAAAGATCTGGAGACTTGGGAGAACAGGTCCGTCGCCCTAGAACCCGACCTAGCAGCTCTCTCTTTTTAGGATGCTGAGTGTTGACTCTCTCTTCTGCACCTGAAATGTGTTTTTCACACCAAGGTTCTGGAAACGTGTGTAAAGAACTGCGGCCACCGCTTCCATATCCTCGTAGCAAACCGAGATTTCATAGATGGCGTCCTGGTTAAAATAATTTCACCCAAGAATAATCCTCCCACGATTGTTCAAGATAAAGTCCTTGCTCTGATTCAGGTATGCCGTTTTAATTGAAGTATCTCTTTCTCTCTCAGCGTATAGCATCACAAATCCTATAGCTTTAAGGCCAGCTAGTTTTGAAACTTCTACTGACTAGGCTTTAGCAGGTTGATAGTCCTTTTAATCTTGATATGTATATTTCCAGTTGCGCATTAAGCAGCTGCCTGCTTCTTAATTTGAAAGGGTGACTCCAGCCCAGCATCCGCTGCCTTGGCCTGATGATTCTTCTCAAGATTTTTGGGCAACAAGCTGATTCACTTGCACAATGTTTGAGAGTTTGTATCCCACTTTTGACTCTTGAATCATACATAAAGGTCTCCGTGCCAAAAACTAACAGGGTTAGGACGAATGACTGTTTCTAGTCTGCTTCATAGCTTTTCTTTCCATCACACTAGAAAGACGGGGGGTAATTTCAAGAGGGTCTTTAGCAAGACCCACTCCTAGGGCTGTTGGGGAAGGTGTGTCTCATGATTTCTCAGTTGTAATGAATCCAAGAAAAAATGATCAGTTCAGACACCCCAGTGCAGGGGTCCCCAGCATGTCAGCAACCAGTCAGCACAAGTGAAGCCCCATCTGTGGGATGCGGGCAGCACACGAAACCAGGCCCCCTCCTGTCTGCAGAAAAACCTCTCTCCACGGAACTGGTCCCTGGTGCCCAAAAGATTGTGGGGAGTGCTGCCCTAGTGAAGCAATATGGACTGTGTAGAAGCAGCCCGACGATCCTGCCTGCTTTTTATTTTTATTTTTTCAGGCTTGGGCTGATGCCTTTCGAAGCAGTCCTGACCTCACAGGAGTCGTGCACATTTACGAAGAGCTGAAGAGGAAAGGCATAGAGTTTCCCGTGGCTGATCTGGATGCCCTGTCTCCAATACACACCCCACAGAGAGCAAGTATCTAATCTTGGGAATAAAAGCCCCGACCCAAGGGCTCTAGACTCTGAACTGCACATGAAAGAGGGGGATGAGTTGTACAGTTATGAAGCATAGAATACCCGGGACATTCATTGAGCAGGAAAAAAAACTGACTGCCTTTTAGAACAACTTTGCAGGCTCTGACCCCAGGCACTGCTACCGTCCCGTCTCCCAGGGTGATAAGACCACTAGCTGCTTGGATGGGAGGCTGCACAATTGCACTCCACCTCTTTGGGCCTTCAGAGCACTTAGGTGACTGTTGTAAATAGAATCACACACATACACGCACAGGCACAGGCACAGACCCTCCCCTCTGCTTCTTTGAAGGTGGGCTTGGTCTCTCTCTCATCAACTGCCGTTTCCCTTGCTAGAGTGTTCCTGAAATCGACCCGGCTGCCAACATGCACAAGTCCCAGTCTCAGCAGAAGATAAGCCCCAGCCCCTCCCCTACCTCTTTCCCAACTTCTCAGACCCCCACTCCGAATGGGGCTGACCCCATCATAGCAAACACGGAACAGGTACTGCTCGGGAGGAACGGGCCCCTGGCTGGGGTGGGGGAGCCGTGGCCCCCCGCACTCCTTCAGGATGAGAGACGCCTGTCGGCTTTTAGATAACAAAAGCACTTTCCTCCTTCCCTGCCTGCCCCCCCTTCCCTCCAGATTGCACGGTTACGCAGCGAGTTGGATGTTGTTCGTGGCAACACAAAGGTGATGTCGGAGATGCTCACAGAAATGATACCCGGTCAAGAGGATTCCTCAGACCTGGAGTTGCTACAGGTGAATCTGTCAGAGGGAAATTTTCCTAGCTCTTCTGTTGTAGTCCTCGACTTGCAACAGTTAATTTAGTGACCGTTCAAAGTTGCAACAGTAGGGAGAAAAGTGGCTTATGACTGTCTTTCACACTTAGAACCATTGCAGCATCCCCATGTCATGGGATCAAAATTCAAACGCTTGGCAACCGACTGGTACTTAAGGTGCTTGCAGTATGTCCCAGGGTCACGTGATCCCCTTTTGTGATCATCTGACAAGCAAAGTTAGTGGAGAAACCGGATTCACTTAACAACCGTGTTACCAGCTTAGCCACTGCAGTGATTCACTTAACAGCTGTGACAAAAAATGAGGCAAAATTCACTGAACAGATGTCTCAGCAAGAGAAATTTTTGGCTCAAGTGCGGTCGTAAGCCGAGGACTCCCTGTATTTGTTTTGATGAATTCAAACCATTTAGTCTGGAGCTACCTGAAGAGCCCCAGAGTCAGAAGGGATCGTTTGGTTCTTGAACACGGATCTGATGCTTGGGGAAGGATCCCGATTCCAACATTTGGGGCAAATGGTTTTCCCACTGCTGCTTCTATTCATCTCTGGAACGACACCCCCGGCCCCCCTCTTCCAGTTAGCCAGAAGTCGGGTGAAGTCTGGCATCACCTTTTCCAAAAGACCAACGGCAGAAGACTTTGTGAAGTAGGGCTCACCTCATCAGGTGCAAATTTCGCCTGTCTTCCTGGAACTTAAGTCCATTATTCTCTGCCCGGCCCTTCTGGGATGACAGAGAACGAGGCGTTGTCTGTAGGTGCCCCTTTAGTTACTTGGAGCTAAGAAGCCGAGATAACTGTGTGGCTGGCCCTTGCCTCTTAGAAATAGGCAAAACAAAAGAAACCACTAAGCACCGGAGCACAAGACAATTTCCCAACGCAGTCCAAGCCGGTTTTCTCCACTACCTGAGTCCAGACGTCTGAAATGTCACCGTCTGGCTCTAAACTGACGAGATTAAAGCCGACGTTGGCAAACCTGGTCCTCAAGCTGTTGCAGCAGCTGGAGAACCTGAGGGGGGGTTTATGCCATGCGCTGAATGTCAGTCTCGGCAGAGGAAGCCCAGGCAGCTTCTTACTCTTCTCAAAGGTTGGAGGCTGTCCCCCCTCCGCTGGTTTTTCATTCTGGCAGGGAAGCCTCCAGACTCGGGCTAGCTTTGTTTAAAGGTCACCCCCTGCTCATGGAAAGTCCGGTGGGGGAAGCTGGCTTCTCTTGCTGTTGATGTGATGTCCAGTGGGCAGAGGTGGATCAGCTGGATAGTCTGGGCCCCTTTGGCAGAGGGAGCCAAAATAGCCGACGAAAGAGGCCAGGTGTGGGCCACAGCCTCTCTTAGAGACATCTGGAAGCAAACATACACTCAAAAGGCAGCAGGAACTCCTCCCGGTTACGAAACCTCTGGCTCCTGCTTATGGTGCCACCCTTGGAGACTGTTTCTTGCCCTCAGTCGTCTCCCTGTCCGCTCTCCTAGGAGCTGAACCGCACTTGCCGAGTGATGCAGCAACGGATTGTGGAGCTGATCTCCAGGGTGTCCAACGAAGAGGTCACTGAGGAGCTGCTTCACGCCAACGATGACTTGAATAACGTCTTCCTCCGATACGAGAGGTGGCGTCCCTTTTTTCTTGGAGAAGTCAGGTCCTCCGGCACAAGGGCAGGGCAAGCCAAGACCTTCCCTCTCTAGTGACAGCATGGGGGGTGGGGTGGGGTGGGGTGGGGTGGGGTGTCCCTCAGAAGAAGAGACATTCAGGAGTCTTTCCTTTTTGCCAGATCGCAGCCTTTTCTCCCTTTCCCCGTTCATCTCCTCCCCTCCCCTCCCAGGAGGCAGGGAAGAGAAGCACTGTAAATGTCAGAGCTGCTTTAAACCATCTCAGTTCTTTCTCTGCGGATCAGCTGTCGATAATTGACTCCCAGCTGCCTGCACCGATGCCTGGCTGGCTGAGGTGTTGCGTGTACAGTTGGACGCTAGAGGTCCAGAACGAACCTCCTGGAAGAGGCCTCTGGCTCAAAGAATGTGGATAATAATGCAAGCTAGCCAGGCATCCAAAAACAGGAACTGATGGCAGGTACCTAGCGGCCATCCATGTGGACCTTGCCCTGCAGAACAGGTCCCAATTGGGATATGTTAGTTTGTCTAGGAACAGATATCAAGTCCAGTTAAGCGCTTCAGCAAGGCCTCGGAGAGAAAGAACCAACCATTCCTCCATGGAAGAACTGCCCCAAGCACAATTCACCTCTAGGATAGGGCCCCAAACACTCTTTGCAGACAACCACTTCCTGTGGGCTGTTTGGTTAACTTCCGTGGGCAACCAGGGAGATGGGGAAAGGATGGCATATGGGTCTTGTAGTGGTCTCCTGGGTGTCTTACCCAGAATCAATTCTCCCCCTTTTGCGCCACAGTAATTTCTTCTCCCCATTCCTGCTTTTGGGTGAAGACCCAAATTGTTCAGAACTGCCCCCTGCCCTCTTTTTTATTCCTTTATTCTTCCTCTAGGTTTGAACGGTACCGACTGGGTCGGTCAGCACAGAATGGGGTAAGTCTTTCCAAACAGTGTAACAGCTGCTCTCTATCCTTGTCACCAGAATGTACGCTCCCCCTGAGAATTTCTAAGACTTACTCTGAATATTAAGCATAACTGGTTGTGTCTTTGTTGGCAAAGCAACACTCGAGGGTCTGCTTGCAGATTGGGAGGAATCAGACTGCTTCCAGCCATTTCAAGCTGATCCAGAGAATGTGAACATATCTAGGTTGGAAGTTCTTGGAACACCCTCATCCTAGTCAGAAAGTCAGGGTGGTGGCCCAAATGGTTCAGTCAAAGTTCTGCCTGTTTTTTGTGTGTGTGTGTGTGTGTGGTTGGTCATAATTCCTCTCCTTGCGTGTTGGGAGAGAAGGCTCAGCAATGCAGAATTCTGCCCCTTTTAGCTGAGGCGCCCTAACCAGGGAAAGAAAGAACATCTGAAGGGGGCTTAAGGGGGTGGGTGCTTGTGTAAACATGCCCCTCCTGGCTGTAACTTCCTGGGCTTCATTAGAGCCAGCTGGTGCTGCCTCTGACTCCTGTGATGTTCCTCTCGTCTGACCTCTGTTGCTGCCCTCTATCTCCCTGCAGGTTCTCAACGAGGTGTCCGAGGACAACTTGATAGACCTGGGCCCTGGGTCCCCAGCAGTGGTCAGCCCCACGGTGGGAAACACTGCCCCCGCCTCCACCCTTTCCACTCAGCTTGCTGGGCTCGGTGAGTATTTTATTTTCTTCCGTTTCTTGAAGAATGCGAGGAAGTCCCAAGAAGCTAGTCCTAGTGGGGTACTTGGAAACTTGAGAGGTTTCCCGGTATGCTTAGGTAGTTGCCAATGTTGGATGCTGGCCACTGTGTAGGAGGAAGCCCCTGGGAGCCAACCCATTTAGATGCAGAGGGGCCCTTTTCCCCGTTTATAACAGATTTGTGCACAATAAGTCTCTGTGACAAGACACAACCTTTCATTACCTTGTGCGCAATCGTCAACCGTGCTGTGCACAAATCTGTGTTTGTCCCAGTAGGGCTCTTCAAGTCAAAATTTACATCCCATATTACATTCAAGCTGTGTCTCATTTAATTGATTTCTGCAGTCCCTTCTTTGGCTCAGAGTCTTTGGCGCTGCAAAGAGGCGAGGAGAACTGGATGTGGCGTCATTTCCTTCCCAATCTGTCCTTCTCCTGAATCTGATCTCTCTCTCTTCCCCCCCCCCCCATCTCCCCAAGGATGAGTTTTCTTCGGTCTAAGCCCCTCTTTCAGGAGCTGGTGCTGGACTCCTCCCCGGAGAGGAGATCAGACAAGTGGAGTCTTGGGCCTTCTGTCCATGGGAACGAAAGAAGGAGGGGAAATGTGGCCGGCTTCAGGCTTGGCTACAGGGAATGTTTGTATGCACCAAGACTTATCAAAAGACTGCTTTTGTTCACAGTGCTGCTTTTTTGTTCAAAGCAAAGCAGGCCCATCTTCCTTTGCTTTGGGTCCTCTGTGTCTCTCTGTAGATTTGGGCACAAACAACGTGAGTGGGGCCCTCAGCTCGCTCCCCCCCAGCAATCCCCGGGATGACTTTGACGTCTTTGCACAAACAAGAGGAGGCGGTCCCTTGGCAGATCAGCATACAATGTAAGTGGCCATGGCCTGGACGCCGCTGCCTCTCTGAACATTTATTATTGATTTGTATTCCATCTTTATTATTGTTTTTACAAATTAAGCTCAACAGGCCTTCCTCCTCCTATTTTCTCCACAACAACAACAACTTTGTGAAGTGGGTTGGGCTGAGAGAGGAGGACTGGTTTAAGGTTACCCAGCTGGCTTTCATGCCTAAGGTGGGACTGGAACTCACTCTCACCTGCTTTCTAACCAGGTACCTTAACCACTAGGTAAAACTGGTTGCTAGGACCAAAAGAGCTGCTCAAGTCAATAGCCATCCTCTGGGTCTCAGGTTCAAATCCTGAGCCAGTGAATGATCAGGGGCCTTCATTGCTAAAACGAACACATTTTTTTTCCTGTTTTAGATACACAATTGCAGCAGATCTTATCCCAAGGGCTTTGTGAGAGGGAAATTTGACGGCTCAGCTAGATCGTATTTCAGACTATTTCCAGGCTACTCAGAGCCAATGCAAATGTACTGAGAAGTCAAAGACTATCAGAAATGCAGCATGAGACCTTTTCACGAGACCTCAGGAATGCCTCGCCCTCGCCAGGCCATTGTTTTGGTGATAATTTTGTCCCCGCTTCCAGGGCTATTAAAAATGGAGTCCTCCTGGCTTTCTGGAGGTTTGCTGGATGAATTACAGCCCCCAGAGACCTCCCAGAGACGCCTCGGTATTTAAGCATCAATGATGCTTTCTCGTCTTTGTTTCATTGGCTCCACCCTGTGGCAGATTTGGGGGGGGATTTTTAATCTAATCAACTCCCTCTGCCTTAATTGGATTGGCCTGGTGGGCTTCTCAGGAGATGTGAAATCCCCAGATTTAGGGACTTTTTATGTGTGTATATTCAGCTCCTATAATCAAATCTGCCCCTGCGGGCGGAAGAGTTAAATGTGCTTGCATCTGGCTGCACTCATTGTTTTTCTTTCTTTTTACAAATAAAATCGGCATGCTTTGGCCTCTCTTTCATATGTTTTCTTTTGCTATTGTTGGTTTTTGGTTATTTTAGCAATTCTTTTCTTTCCTTTTGTCCAGCGTGACAAAGGAGGATCCACCAATGGCTAAAGGGATGGCACCTGCCCCGGATACCCAGAAACCAAATTCAGGAGGGGTAAGTCTGTTCTGCTCTCTGTGTGTGTACGTGTGGGTCCCATTCTCAGGCTGAGGACACTGAAGGCCAGTGCATTCCCTTGTGTGCAGTGTCTGTTTTGGGGGCAGCCGACTGAAACTAGCAGAGCGAGCTGGGGCCGTCTCCTTGTTTGGTCATTGGGAGGCTCAGCAGTTTAGAAGTATTTGAAGACCAGATATTCAGTGTGTTGGTGGGAAACTCTGGAGGACAGGCCAAAGACTCACCTTTTCTCTCAGCTTCATCTGAATGTTGTTGTGCTTAAAAGGGCCACTGATTTACTGTGAGAAATACAGGGTGCTTACTTTGGGACGGGGGGGGAGGGCTTTCCTTTTTTTCCTGCAGTCCAGATTGAATGCACAGAGACCTGATTTGTCAACCTCATTTCCCACATGAGGGTTTTTTCCCCTCCCCTCCCCGGGCTTTTATACTTTCTCCAGCTGATCACCCCCTTCCTTATTTTGGCCTTTGTAGGATCCAACATCCGTCTATCTTTAATTAATTTTATTTCATCAGAATAAATGGGCCACCTTTGTGTTTCCCCCAAGCAGTTCAAGGCAGCGTCAGTGGCTCTTTTCTCTTCCTCTGCCCCCCTTTAAATGAGAGACTTGTATTTGCCCAATTAACTTTATGGCCAGGATTTGAATCCAGATCAGTGAAAGTACGGTAGGGAACCTTTGCTCCCATTTGATGCCTGTATCAGATCTCTTGAGCTTGGCTGGGGAGAATGGATTGCACAAGTCTGGAGGGCACCAGGTTGGGGACCAAGGGCTTAGTGTGTTGTCAGCTCAAAGGGCCTCCTGGAGCAGGGTCAAAGTACTTGAAGGTGTGTCTCCCCCTCCCCCAAGGCTTTGCCCACAGGTGAAGACATCCTTATTTTGCTCTCCAGCTGACTTGAGGGTGTCGGCAGCCCTTGCACCCAGTAGCAATCTCTCTCCTTTCAGTTCTCAGCCTTGATTCTCTTACCCATGGCTAAAAAGTTGGTAAAATCGGGCATGACTCCATAACCGCCCGGCTTAGCAACTACCTCTCATCTTGGCTGGCCAGTACCCAAAGCGTTGCTTGTTGGGACCCTTGAAGACGAAGACCTGGCCCCTTTCCGCCAGCTTCAAGGCCCTCTTGTCTCAGGAAGTGGGCACGGAGGGGTGCTTCTCCTACCCTCATGCTGCCGATTCTGGGTCGGGCCACCCGCAGGTAGAACCAGGTGGGAGAGAGGAGTGCCCAAAGCTTTTGCAGGCGCCTGCGCTGGACATCCCGGGTCTGCCTTGGGAGGGGGGAAACACGGTTCTTGTTTAATCTATGGTAATGAGGCTCTCTGTTCTCAACACACAGAGGAGAGGTAAAGGTGGGAGTTGCCCCATGGAGCCCATAGACAGGTGGCTCATCTCCCAAGGAATGGTGAGGACCGTTTTGCCGTCCAGTGACATCCCCTCCTCCCTCCATGTTGTCTCACCCCTCCCGGTGTCCCTTTCTGCTGGCCTCACCACCCTCGGTTTACCTGTCACTCCACCTCTTCACACAGTACCAGGGTGGTGGCTGTAAAAGGAGGGGGGGAGCCTCATCCGGGGAGATGGAAGGATGGGCCAGTAGGAGCTGAATACAGCTATTCCTCGACTTACAACCGTTCGTTTAGTGACTGTTCAAAGTTACAACAGCACTGAAAGAAGCGACACACTTCTTTTTCACACTTACAACCTTTGCAGCATCCCCCTGGTCCCGTGATCGAAATTCAGACAGTTGTCAACTGGCTCACATTTATGACGGTTGCAGCGTCCCAGGGTCACGGGACCCCCCCCCCCCTTTGTGGCCTTCTGACCCAAGCAAAGTCATAAGGGGAAGCCAAATTCACATAGCAACCAGGTGGCTAACTTATCAACAGTGGTGATTTGCTTAACAGCTGAGGCAAGAAAGGTTGTAAAATGGGGCAAAACTCCCTTAACAAAGGTCTCACTGGACAACTACAATTTTGGGCTCCGCTGTGGTCAAGGACTATCTGTATTTTTCTCATAGAGGGGGGCTAAGAGTGCTTGGGGGGTGGGCTTGTTTTCCAACCCTTGGATGGCTCTCTCCACCGCCTCCTTGTCCTGTCATCGTCTTTTTTTTAATACCTGCAGTATCGCCTTTTTCCCCTCCCTGGTAAACACAGGTCTTTAGCAAAGGGGGAGCTTTGCCAGAGGCTGAACAGGCAGCACAAGAGAGCAACCCAAACCCAGAGAAAAAGGCTCGATCAGTCTCTTCCTCCTCCACTCTCTTGTCTTCAGATGTTTTGGACTTCAAATCCCATCCTCCTCTAGGCAGCCCAGGGCCACCCTGGGCTCATCGGTGGTTCTGCTAAGCTCCTTGGGGGGAAGAGGAAAATAATGATGTGTCCTGCAAGAGCAGAAAACTGAGAATAGCAGACAGGCCTCTCCCACATTGGTGTTTCTCAAGCTTGGCCACTTGAAGACGCGTGGACTTCAACGCCCAGAATTCCCCAGCCAGCGATGCATCGCTGGCTGGGGAATTCTGAGCATTGAAGTCCTGGCGTCTTCAAGTGGCCAAACTTGGGAAACACTATTCTACACTCTGCATTTTACAGCGTTGCTCTGCACACCCACAGCTAGCAATCCGATAAGCTTGTCCCACAGCTTGCAAGAACGCAGAGCGCACTGGATATAAACTTTCCCTTGAAGATTCTGCTGCTTTCAAACCATTTTTATTTTATTTTATTTTTGGCAAAGGAAGGGAGAGGAAGGAAAAATCCTAAATGTGGCTAGGCAGGAAAGGGCAGGAGTTAGTGGGGCTTTATTTACGTCACTGAGAAGGTAAACCTGGGACACCCAAAGAGGAAATTCAGCAGCCACCACCCCCAAGCTGCCGATCCCAGAATTCTCTCAGGAGACAGGCCTTTAGAAAAACAATGAAGGGGAGGAGGGAATTTGGTTGGGAAAAGGGGGTGCAAAGTGTTTAAAGGACAGAGGGATGTTTAGGGGGATGGACTGCTTGTAAGGACCCCCCCCCTGCCCCCCAGGAGAGAATGGAGGCAACTCCATCTTTTGCCTTTCAAATTTCCTGAGAGATTAAACCCATCTCACTGTTTCAGTTTCTTGGGGAGACCCTTAAAAGCCTCCCAGTATATTTCTCCCCCTGATTTGAACATTCTGATCTCCCTCCTCTGGTATTCCAACCATCCTCATTGTTAGCGTGTGTTTCTTCGGCTTGGAAAAAGGTTACTGCCCCCATTGTGAACCCCTTAATAACACCCGTACGGGATTGGACAGGCTGGCATTCCCTGGTCTGTCCTTCACAAGCTCCTGGTCCCCGTTTGTTTTTAACACGGACATATTTGACCTCCTCTGTCCAACTAACCCATAACCGTGTTTCCACCACCACCAGCAGCAGCTGTTAACCGTGTGTGTTTATGAGACACATAATAAAGTGGACCTGCCCAAGTGTGCAAGCAGACAAGTGAGCAGAAGTGCAAGGACACACCAATAGTCCCTGGCCAAGGGCTGGAAATTTAAAGGGGCGAGTTGGGTCAGAGATACCCTGAAGCTCATCCTATTTTCCCGAATATTTTTCTACATGTCTCCTTTTGGATTGCCAGCTCCATTCAGTTCAGGCACCTCGTGGTCTAGACTGAGCAGCCGAGCGGTCTTGAAGGAGCTTCCTTTCCATTTTGATCCTTGACCAACGCACGAAAAGCAGCCCCAGCTGTGACTTGCCAAGCCGCAGTTATTATGGTGGTAGCTTCTGTCCCCAAGAGTCCAGGACTGGAGAAGAGGGAATGTTTGGCAAATGGAAGATAAAAAAGCAAGCAATTGCGATACCTGGAATGGCAAGAGACAGGCTTGGGTCTAAAGCCTGAGTATAATTTGGTAGTTTTTTTTATGAGCGTTCAGGCCTGAGCTCGAGGAAATCTCGTTGTGTGCGATTGCAGCAGAAGCCAGCTCTGCGTAGCAGAGATTTGATAAAGATAACAACAGGTGTCTCCTCGCACACGCACCCCCAGTCTGTGTCTGGAGCAGCCCCACAGCTTTTAGCCAAACCATCTTTACCAAGCAGGGAATGAACAAGGCTTTTTTAGACCTTATACGTACGATGCAGTCTGATGGACGAGGGAGAGAAATGACGGAATTAATTTTGAATCTTGGGGTTGCGCACCATTTGGGCAAGAGGCCCCTAACTTCACAAGCAGAATTCAGACTAAAATCGGCTGCAATATTAACCAAGGCCTTCTCTTGGCGGCCTGAATGTTAGCCACCATCAACTGTCCAGAGAGAAAGTAGTTGGTGGGAGAGCAGGCAGAACGAGTGTGCGCTCTCTCTCTCTCTCTCTCTCTCTCTCTCTCTCTCTCTCTCTCTCTGTGTGTGTGTGTGTGTGTACACAGAAACACTTTACCCTTGTGTGGGCCAGAATTTGACCAGCAACCACTTCTTTGTGGCCATGAAAGAGGAACAGGGGGAAAGGAATCTCAGAGTTCAGATTCCGAGTTGTACAGCTAGCAGGTCCCAGACTGGTGCTTATGGACCGGGCTCCTCCCCCAGGTCTGTGTCTCTCAGCCAGCCGCACACTTGGGCACCCCGCCCAAGCCTTCACCAGCCTTGCTGCCCACCCGTCCCCACGCAGGGCACCATCCATCTTGTTTCTAGGCGCCCTGCCTGCTTTCCTATCTTCCGTATCGGTTAGGAAGCAGAGGGCAGCCCTATTGCTCCTGGTTTATAGGATGCCCCCCCCCCGCCTCTCCCCGTTTCACTCATCATAACCTTTTCTGTGTTGAGTTTTGCTAGCCACATTGCCTTGTTTCACACTGCTTTATTTGTGCGTGTGCTTTTTTCCGTTCGGTTGCAATCCCTCTGCGATGATGAAATGCACTTTTTTTTTTGTTTTTACAACAGCAATGCATCTTACACAGCCTATATTTGTGTTTTGTTTTTTGTTTGTTCCTTTCCCCCTCTCTTTCCTTTCTCCCTCTTTTCTTCGGTCCCGGTCTGGGCCCGTATTTCTGGGTGTGTTTTTGGCCTTGTTTTCCCATCTCGCTGCCCTGCCTAGATTCCCGTCCCACAGTCCTCCGTCATGGAGGACATTGAGGAGTGGCTGAGTACCGACGTGGTAAGAGACTCTTCGGTTCTTCTGCTCTGGTCCTCTTTTCTTGTTTCGTTTGCCTCCGAGGAGGGCAGGGCGATGCCCGGGCAGCAGCTCACCTCTGGCACACGTTTCTAAAACATAGGCAGTCCTCCACTTACCACAGTTCATTTAGTGACCGTTCAAAGTTACAACGGCACTGAAAAAAGTGACTTGGGACCATTTTTCACACTTGGGACCGTTGCAGCGTCCCCTTGGTCGCCTGATCCACGTGATTCCCCTTTTGCAGCCTTCTGATAAGCAAAGTCAAGGAGGAAGCTGGACTAACTTAACCATTGCAGTGATTCCCTTAAGAACAATGGTCAGAACAGTCGTAACATGGGGCAAAAATCACTTAACCAACGTTTCACTTAGCAACAGAAATGGGCTCAGTTGTGGCTGTAAGTCGAGGACTGCCTGTGCATGGGAAAGGATACGTGGGGGGGAAGGGAAGGCGGGGAGGGTTGGGCCTCTGGCAGAGCCGCAGGCAGAAGCCATCCGATACGGGGAGCAGCTGGAGCAGCTGGGCACTGGAGGAGAGAGAGGGGGGCGTGGGCAAACCCTGAGCAGCAGCAGCAGCAGCAGCAGCGTCCCTCAGTCCACACTGCTTAGGGTCGCCCAGGTGGAGAAACACAGGCCTGTTAGAGACGTTAAAAGATACAGAGCGGAAAAATACCCCAAGGAGGGGGAGAACTCCCTGGAGGGCTTTTGGCTGAGTGTTGGAATGGGGAAATGCCATCCCCCCCTCCTCAAGGACCTGCTGGCCGGAGAGGACCCCCGCTCCTGCCTGGGAGACCCCACACGTCTGTCCGCGCACGCTGATCCTTCGCTTTGGATTTCATAAGAAAACAGCCCTCCTCCCAGGCCGGTGCTTTGGTCCCGAATGTGGGGATGCCAGGACGGTTCCTGGGGAAGAGAGAGGTCCACGGTGTCTCTGGCTCCAACTGGGACAAGGACCTTCTAATGGGAGCAGGCCATGAAAGCTGCGGTTTCTTTTCAGGGCAACGGGTGACGGCCATTAACAGTCGGCCCATCTTTGCATTTGGGTTAAAGTTGCTAGGCTGCCACTTCTCCTTCCAGGGAGGTCATCGTCCCAGGGACCCAAACTGTGGGGCATCGCCTCAGCTTGGGGGAAGCTGACCCCTGAATCTGGAAGGCCCCTTTTGTCCGTTGGACAAAGCCGAGCGGGTCAATCCCTGATTTTCATTCCCAGAAATATGTGGGCCACTGTTCAGCGACCACATTTTTCTCGCTGTTTTTTTTTTTTTTTAATCCCGCGTTGGGGCAAGTCGGAGCTCAGTCTTTGAGATCTCCCTGAGCTGGGCCAGCCTGCTGGCAAATCCTTGCGCTCTCTGCACTTCTTTTTAAAGGAGGAAGGCTATAACAATGGTGAGCTTTCTCTCTTTTCTTCCCCACTCTCCCCTTCCGTCTTCCTCCCATTCCAGAAAGGAGATGAGCTGGAAGAAGGCGTGACCAGCGAAGGTACGTAAGCAGCCCAGGGATCGAGGGGCTACCTCGGTTAATGGAAAGGGGGAGCTGCCCGGCGATGGAGGAGGCTCTCCAATGCTGCCCTGGCAATAGAAAGCATCTGGGGCTGTAGGGACCCCCCAACATCCGAGAGGGGAGCTAATGAAGGCTAGTAGGGTAGAAGAGACCCTGCACGGTCAGCTCCTCCCTCATTAATTCTGCAAAGTGGATACGGGCGACATGCACACAGGCCAGGAAGACAGATTGGACAACCATGTGTTTGAAACGGCACAGAGTTTCCTGCTTGAACAGGGGGTTGGACTTGAAGACCTCCAAGGTCCCTTCCAACGCTGTTATTCTGTTAAACCTTGCGGCCAGCCAGCCACCCGGCGGCCATTTCTCTTCTGGACAATCCTGCTTCAGACCCCAAGCCCTGCCTTGGTCATCCCCGACCAGGCCCTCTTCCTCCTCGTGGTCTCAGGCCACCCTCGGTTGGACCTGGGCAGGGGACGGGATGGGATGGATCGCCAAATAGCATTGGGACTGTTTCCCCCTGAGCCTTTTTTTTCCCTAAACCTTGCAGAATTCGACCGGTTCCTGGAGGAGCGTGCCAAAGCGGCTGAGAGGATCCCCAACCTGCCCTCCCCTCCTCAGGAGGAGCCCAGACCGCCACCTGCGAACCCGCCCAGCAAAAGGAAGCCGGACCGGTCTGAGGACGCCCTCTTCGCTCTGTAACGGTCCTTCTCCCCCTCCCCTCCCCGCTCTCCCTGCACGGAAGGAGGCGGTGGCGGCAAGACCAAGAGTGGTCTGGCTAGCGAGGGGCCCCTTCCCATCCCCGGTGGCCCCAGATCAGGTGGGCTCTTTTTCCTCCTCCGGGACTCGGCCTCATTTCCTTAACCTTGGAAGGCTCTTGACAGCCGTTCTGCCACTCAGATGGGGGGGGGTTGTCCCACTTAACTCCCTCTCACGCCTCTGCCCCGTTGATGCTGAGATTCCCCTTTAAAAAAAAAAAAGGTAAGAGACCTGCATGACAACTTGCACAGGCTCCATTCCCACTGGCTTTCCAGTCCTCCCCCCTCCCCTTGCTTATGCACAATAGTCATGCATCCAACCCTGGCTTGGCTCTAGTTAGAACTACTCCAGAGCCCGGCCTGTGGCCTCTTCTGCTCGGCCTCCCGCACAAATCAAACCGGAGCTTCAGCATCTTCCCCGTGGGCTTCCTCTGCTCTCTTAGCTCTGCCTGGAGGGTTGCCAGAGAAGCTAGTCGGAAAGAGGCTCGTTTGTGCGAAGGCAGCATCCTTTAGCCAAAACACCTGGGCGGGTTCCGTGGGTGACGAAGGAGCCCCTCTCTGCAGGCCCCCAGATCTCCCCTTGATCCCCCCTCTCTGGATGGGCTCAGCCCCACTCGTGGGGGACCGGCCAGTCTGCCCCTCTCCTCGTCTTTACAAGAAGGGTATTGATAAGGGGAAAGTCAGCCACAGAAAGGGACGAGATTGCACTTTGCACTGGAAATGTTAACCCTGAGCGGCAGTTACGTCTGGAGGTATGAACCACTCCATGTGTGTGCGTGCGCGTGTGCGTGTGTGTTAAAACCTTATTTGCATTTTAAAGCACTAAATGGCACTATGTTACCGGCGGCGGGATTCTCTCCCAAGCATTAACGAAAGGGTGGAAAGGGGTGTGGGGCAGCCCTGCTGGAATGAGTGGGGGCTTCTGCCCTCCTCTGACGCCAGCATTTCAGCACTGCCTACTAGAGGGCGGGGCCTTCTCCGTTACCTCTGCAAAAATAATGGTGCAGAAGAAGAGCTTCCTAATGGGATTAAGCTGAATTAAAATGCGTTGGCTCAAAGCAAGGAGCATCCTGGCCTCGCTTCACCCATCCAGGTTGGGCACCGTGGGCTGCATGGGCTCTGCCTTTCCCCCAGGAGAGGAAGTGACCCTTCCATGCTGCTGGGCAGAGGACCTGATGGCTTGCCACCTGGCAGGGCTCCTGCCAGCCTGGGCAAGAGGCTGCCTTTCCTTGCCTGTCGTGCGACCTTTGTCCCGAGAGTTCCCCAATGCCAGCCTTCGCTTGGCACAGACCTGGAGTCTGCTTTCATCACTCGGGACGTTACCTGGTCATCTTGATAACCCACCAGGCTCACCAGGGCCTGCAGGAAAAGCAGCTGTGGGGCTCCAGCTTGATCCTCCCTTCCCCTCTCTGGGATGGCCCCCATGTGGGGCAGCTTTGAAAGACCGGGCAGAGGAGAAGTGACGGGAGCGAGAGAGGAAGGAAGCAGAGCTAACCTCCCTTGAGCATCTTTTGCTGTTTGAAGCACATGGTCTACAAACGATCGCTAGTTGCACAGATCTACCCACTGTGCCTTCCAGTCGCCCCTCTGCACCATTGCAGCCCAGAGACCCCAAATTGCCCTCAATGCCATTGCAAGAGGCCGCCTCTGCAGGCTCACGGATGGCTGCCCTGGAGGGAGGCAAGCAGACGGCTTGGAAGCACCAGGGGCCCCTGCTGGCCCCCAAGAGCACACTTGCCCGAGCAGTTTGCCCCCCTGGGCTCCCCTGCCTCCAGCCCCATAGCTCTGGGAGTGCGTTTCAGGGAGGTGAAGCCCAGGGGCCGTCCCTCCCAGGCAGCCTTCCGAAACGCCGCCACCACCTGGGGCTTGGCAGGGCAGGAGGGCAGAAGAAAGAAAGAAGGATACCACCTTATTGAAATCCACCCAATTCGGCAGCAAGAAGCTGGCTGTGCTCCTTGCCCGGCCAAACCAGCTTCGTTTGGGAGGAGGCCGAGGCTTCTTAGGGCTTTTTAAGTTAATCTGCAGCCCCTGGAAAAGGTCCAGCCTCCTTCTGAACAAGCCCCAACCCCAAGAAGTCAGCCTCCCAAATCTGGGCTCTCCTCCGGAGTCTCTTCCCAGGATTTCCCGTTGGTTTGCTTCTATTTCAGTCTCTGTTTCTCCCCCAAAACGACCTAACTGCTAACTGTTACGGGGGCCCTTTCCCCCAAACCCCGTGTCATAGCCTTGCCATCTGTATATTTAAAGCTGCAACTTCTTCTCTAGTTGTTTAAAAATGGATAATATTTATTGACAAACAACATTCAATGTTTTGTTTTATTTGCGGGGGACAGTCGATGGGCAGGCCAGTGGAATTTATTGTTTAAAGAAAAATGTAAAGGTTAACTATGTAAAAATGATACTAGTGAAACCCATTTGAAAGTGCCTCCCTTCTCTCTTTCTTCTACGAGTGACAGTATACCCGAGAGAGCAAAGCCCAGCCCGGGGGGGGGGAGGGGGTTTGCATAAGGCTGTATTAACCGATGTCACTTAACTCTCCTTTTGGATGTCTGTGTGTCTCTGTACATATTTATACATATATTGTTTCTGCATGTCAAAGTCCACCCAATAAAAAAAATAGTGCAATCTTATAGAGCAATAGCGACTGAATCTCTCTCGCCCCCGTGGGGCACAAACACCGGGAGGAATGTTGCCCTTGGAAGGATTCTGTACAGGTAGTCCCCGACTTACAACAGCTCACTTACTGACCCTTCAAAGTTACGACGGCACTGAAAAAAAAATCACTTATGACCGTTTTCACAGCTGCGACCTTTGTGGCATCCCCAGGATCACGGGATCAAGATTCAAATCGTTGGCACCCTGACTCGTCTTTATGACGGTCGCAGCATCCCAGGGGCGACCTTCTGACAAAGTCCACGCGGAAGCCAGATTCACTTAACTACCTTGTTACTCAACAGCCGCACTGGTTGACTGAACTGTGGCAAGGAAGGTCATAAAATGGGTCAAAAACTGACGTGTCGCTTAGCAACAGAAATTTGGGGCTCAGTTGTGGCCGTACTTTATTTATTTTTCTTCCTCTCCGCTTTGCATTTCCAGAGTTTTTGCCCCAATCTTTGGGGGCAAGTGAATCTTTTAATCACACTTTCCAGCTCTGTTTTCAAGTCATAACAGCTCTGGGTCAGGTGCCACTTGCACCTTTTTTGATAAAAAAAGAGACAGAAGCCGGGCCTTGTTTCCCAATTCCCTTCGGCACTAATAATAGACGGAAAGGAGGGTCTCCCTCCCCTCCCCAGCCCTTCTGGCTCAACTTCCCAGGTACAGGGGTGGGGAACCTTGACTCTTTTAGGAGTTGTGGACTTCAACTCCCAGAATTCCTGAGCCAGCATCTCCCATGTTCTGTTTTCTCTAACCGTGGCCGCTTTAAAAGTGGACTTCAACTCCCAGAATTCCCAGCTGGGGAATTCTGGGAGTTGAAGCCCACCCATCTTAAAGTGGCCGAGGTTAGAAACTCTGGAGATAGGGAGCTGCCTGCTGATTTTGCTGTGATTTGAAAGAGCACAACGACAAGGGGCCTGAAGGGAGCAGGCGGCATCTGCCCACAAGCTGGAAAGAGTCAGCCCCTCCCGGCTCCCGTGCCTTCCAGCACATCCTGTGCCTGGCATCTTTGGGGGTTACACCTTTCTAGTAAAACACAATGGCAGCTTCTGTTGAGCAGAGAAGCCGGCTAGGTCCCGGCAGGGCAGGAAAATGCTGGAAAAGAATGTCACCGATTCTCAAAGCCCAGCAGATCTTTCGCCCTGCCAGAGGTAATAAAGGGGCACAGGCAGGGATAAATAGGGATAGCGTTTTATGACAATTAGTGTAATAGTCCTAAGTAGGATTGCACTTTATTTCCCCTCCCAAGCCCAGTGTGCAAGTCGGAGATGCGCTGGAAAGCTTTCCTTCCCATTTCAGCCCTGGATTTCTGTGCTGCAGAAAGCTGCACCGGTTGAATTTCTGGAAAACTTTTGAGTGGGAGAATGGAGAGAAAGGGCAGGATCAAAGGCAGAGGTCTGAAAAAGGAAAACCTCAACCTCTCCAATGTTCGTAGGTTGAACTTTGCAAGGACTTCAGTGGCTTTTTAGTAGTGCATTTACAATTATTTCCAGTTAGGTGGGTCTTTCCCACCTTCTGCAGTTCAGCCTCTTGTTAGAGCAGAGCAGGGGGGGCGCAGGGTTGCTAGCCCCTGGCATCCCCCTGGCTGATTATGCCAAATCCTGCATTTGAGCAGCTGCTTCGGTTGATGGCACCAGCAAACGTGGAAAAGGGCTTCGCTCTTCATCCTCTGAGTCCAACCAGTTATCCCTCCTGGCTGCCGCAGCGTGTGGGGAAGATGGGAGCTGTAGTCCAACTTATCTGGAGGTCACCCAGCTGAGAAAAGCTGAGTACAATGGAGAAGGCAAGCGGGGAACCATTTGCCCATACTTGGAGGCTATGTTTCAAACTTTGCACTGTTGCTCCCACCTACCCACCACCTGGAGAAATGGAGGATCTCGAAACTTTAACCAGATTCTGTTTCCTGCTAGGCGGATGACTCACTTCCCGGTTTCCTCCCTGCGAAGGACCAGACTCTAACCATTAGAAAAAGTTGAAAGGATCACGCACCTCGGTCCTAATTTACAAGGATAGAGAAAGCTGGAACAGCATTCTTCAAATTGAAAAAGGTCTTCTGCAGTCACAACATAAGCCTAAGATTGAAAATCAGGCTTGTCAGATGTTATATTTTTTTCTATCCTGCTCTATGGAGTAGAGAGTTGGTCTCTGACAGAAGGTCACCTAAAGAGTCTAGAAGCATTTGAAATGTGGATTTACAGGCAGTTGTTAGGCTGTTACTATAAGCTGGGTTGACAAGATCAGAAATGAGGAGGTGATAAGCCGCCTGGGAAAGCCAAGGGAAATCATTAAAACAATTAAAAAATGAAAGTTAGAATATTTTGGGCACATGACGCAACACCCAGAAAAATATGGCATACTCCATTTAATCCTCCAGGGAAAGATTGAAGGCAAACGAGGTCCAGGCAGAAGAAGAACATTGTGGCTTTAAAATCTAAGGGACTGGTTTGGACAAAACTCAGCAGCACTTTTTCCTCCGGCTGCTGATAAAAACAGGATCGCCAACGTCCAATAATGGATATGGCACAAGAAGAAAGAAGGACCAGAAAATATGCACGGCCCGTTTAAATCTTGGCCCTGCCCCCAAGCACGGTGGTGGGCAGGTCCTCGCGTTCTCCTCCACGTGGAGGAGGGGGATCCCCACCCCCATGATGTAATCCTTGAGCCTGAGCCCTGACGTGAAATCACTCCACTGCGGAGCTGCGTGCTGATTGGCTGAGTAGGCTGGTACTACGAGGGTGTTTCCCTGCGGCTCAACCAAGCTTTCCCGCGAGGGGCAGCTCTGTTTTGGTTCCTGCCAATTGGCTGCTTGCTTCGGGGCCCCGCCCAGGCATGGGATAGACAAGAATTAACTCTTTCATCTCTTGATAGGAGCTGTAGGTGTCCCATCTAAGTCACCTAGGAGAAGTAATTACTGGTTGCTCCATTTGATTGATTGATTACGTGCCAATGTTGTTTTTGACTCCTAGCTGCCACAGGGAGAAATGTTCTCCCAGAACCTCTGCCCTAAACTGGTCCTTCAGGTCTTCCAACAATGTCTCCATTTGCTGTGGCCACTGAGTTTCTTCACCAGGCTGCTGGTTGTCCCCTTCTCTTTCCTTCCACCTTTTCCAGCATCGACAATATGACATCAAGTCATTGTTGACTCTTAGCAATAATATAGATTTTTTTTCCCAGGAGGATCTTGCCCAATGTGGTCTTTTAGGTCTTCCAATAGTGGATCCATCACCCCTGCAACTGAGTCTGTCCACCTGGCTGCGGGTTGTCTTCTTCTCTTTCCTTCCATTTTTCCCACCATCAGAGCCTTCTCCAGAAGGCTAGGCCTTCACATAATATGTCCAAAGTAGGATCATCTGTGGTTATTTGATGACCCATTGGTTGCTTCCTTGGCTGTCCACGACCTTCTCAATAATCTTTTCCAACACCAACATTCAAAGGCCTTAATACTCTTCCTATGTTGCTTCTTCAAAAAGTCAACTTTAGATTCCATAGAGGCAATCATGACTTGCGTGATTCTGATCTTCGAAGGTTTAGACCTGCCACAGCATTTCAATATCTTCTTCAAGGCCGTCAGCTGCTAATCTGTGGTGTATTTCTTCACTGCTGGGGCCTTTAATGTGGATGGTTGACTTGTTGACTCTTGTGCCTTGAACTTCCCAGACTGCAGGAACCCGCTAGGGGCACACTTTTATTCATTTAAAACATTTATATAGCCACCCAACTTTGGTGCCACTCAACCTTCTTGGACAGCACACCTTGTTCAATACGTCTGGAGCTATACAGATTAAAACCGGTCCTTTGAATTTTTTGGGAAACCGATTTGAATCTAGTGCAGCACCTACCATAGACCTAAAACTACTAAACTAGAGAAGCCCGTTTTCCCGTTTCTGTACGTACATAGAAAAGCAGCTGGAAGAAACTAGGGCTGCCTTCTTCTGAGATGAATAAAGGTTCAGTACAAAGCTGATAGAAAATAGTAGTAGTAATAGTAATAGAAGCAGTGGGAGTAAGAACTTCAGGCATGTGAATTAGCAAACCAGGCCACCAACTACTGCTATTTAGAGGTAGACTGCCCCGAACATGTAGGTTCTGCTAGCCATTATAATTAGTAGGCTGTCTTGACTGAGGATTATAATAGCCGACCAGTGTCAGTCTGAGAAAGGCCATTTTAGATAACATGCAATAGAAGAATTCCTAGGTGGTCCAAATGACTTAGGGGATGAACATGAAGAAAACTGGGAGTTTTGCAGAAAAATAACATTTTTTTAAAAAAAGGGGGGGGGAATCTAAATAGTTGGAAACGAATCTGGAAATAAAAAAAAAAGTCCAGTAAGAATGGAGCATCTTGTTGGGGAAACCGCCTGGACCTAGAGCTATTAAAGCAGTCAACACATCTAGTGGCAGTGAGTTCCACAGATTTAATCTTTCGTTTATTCTGTGCTTGCAAGAGAAACGTTTCCCCAAATCTTCTTTGCTGGTGGTGTGATGTATTTTTGTAATTTTATTGATCTGCACGGAAATGTCCAAGCCTCTTTGATTTTGGGGTGCCGTTCTTGGAACGATCCGAGGCAGAGCCAGTCTTGTTTGCAAACTCTGTGGCTGGCTTCCCTTGAATCCTTCCTTGTGTTGGGGTTCCACGTCTGTCCCCACTTTTCTCCTCCTGCTCTCCCTCCATTTTTATTGCAATATAAACTCAGTCTGATAGCCAAAAATTCCAATCATAAACTGCTCTAAAAGCTATAAACAACTTTCTGAGAAATCCCTCTGGACCAACCGAGGGTTTTTGCAGCAAAGAAAACGCTCAGCACATGAAGGAATCTATTACACAATTTCTTGTCAGCTCACCCTGTTTCCCAAAGACCTGAGGGCAGAACAAGAGGTAACGGGTGGAAAGTTATCAAAGAGAAATCCAACCCAGAATTAAGGAGAAGCTTTCTGTCAGTGAGAATAATTAACCGGTGGAGCAGCTTGCCTCCAG